TATTTAACATTTAACAGCGCAAAATCATGTTGTTTATCCGTATTATTTAAATAAACGCGGGTTAACACGAAGTTGTTGATTCTCGGTGATAATCATAGCTCGCCACCGCTCGCCTGAAGACTTTGAAGCTATTACGTAAACAAGAGGGAAAATCGTGATCCGAACAGCAACAGCCGGAGGGTTGCAGATGTAGGAATAATTCCAATAACCGCACCTCCTTGTAAATTGTTATCTTCCAGGATCACGAGGCGATACCGATGATATGTAAGCTCCCATCAGAGTGCACATACAAGTGAGCAATGTTGACGGATATCCAACTAATCGATAGTAAACTCTTGGAGTAAGCGACTGGTCGTGACTCAGTCATTTAATCACAAGCATGCGAACTAATTAGAGCAGGTCGCGAACCGTCGACCGGTAATGAAAATCACAAATGAACCTCGTTACGATGTAAAATTGCACGACGCATACCCTCTTATGCTATAATTATGGGTTAGCAAAATTACGTTGTTAGTTATACAGGAAACTGTTATTACAACATTTAAACACGTCTTACTTTGTTTATTTAATAATTTTCTCCTTAGTAAATTAGTAATTCGTTTAGACTTCGTATTGGGGTAACGTAAAACATTTAATGTAAGTCTGTTTTTCAAAATTAGTTATTTAAACATTTGATATTCACAGTTAAATGAACAATGAGTAACTGCGTCCTGGTCAATGTCACAGCAAACAGGGTACATTAAAGGATAGCCGACAACGGTACATGCAACTAACAGCTCAATTGTGAGCGCGCATCAATCAGTTTGATGGCAAAGTAATAACTCGCCGTCGGTAACGCAGCCGCCGCCTTTGTACTTTAAACCTGTTACACGTATAGGGAAAAGGTATGATTTGCACCAAAATTTTAACTGTAAAAATATATTAAGATACATAAATAAATGCTGCTTTTGTAGCAGTCACCATTGTTATAATCTTACTGAGAAACAAAAAATAAAAAAAAACAATATGTATTTTGTAATAAGAAAATTGTTTTTTAGATATCTTTAATCACCACACCATAAAATTATTATGAAGTACAAATGTAACATTGTAAACTGAGAGAAATGTTTGTTTTCTAAATATAATAGCAATCCAGACAATAATATTAAATTGCTAGGGGTCAAGTCGACGAGCCCGCGCGCTCTTGCGATAAACTCTAATGATAGTTGCTATTACTATTCAATCACACAAATACTATCCAAGCTTAAAACAATGGTGAACATACGTCTCATTGTACATGAATATAGTAGGAAAAAAACATGTAACTAAGTTAACCTACTGATTAAAGTTTGATTACATTTACCTCAAATACAAGTACACGCTTGTTATTCAGCATATTATGTGGATTCTCTGAGCTTAGATGGGACACATAACCTGCTCGGCAATCTTGGTGGTGTATAAACTATTTCCAATTTAACATGTACTAAATGTATCAATAGTAAATTAATGAGAGTGGCGATCGAATGGTCTCTAATAAATTATCTACAACGAGAAAGGCACGTGTTATTTATGACGCAGCTGGTAATCGATTGCATTACGGAATATTACAGTAATCTCATTTTAGTCCACCTTACCGATGCGAGCGATTGATCGATAGCTAACGATATATTTTAATAGAATGACGATAGCAAAGCCCTTAGCACGCGCCACCGCGCCGACTATACCGAGAACGCTAGAACCTAACGCAAACCTCGCACAGGAAGTGAACAAGTAAAACTGGAATCATCAAGTCATACTTTATTTGCGTAAGCGACTCTCCTTTTAAACAACTACATTACATTGACCTCTAAACCGCATATATTATCTTTATGACGACCTAAGTAATAATAGGGCCATAGTCGACACCGGCACGTGTCAGAATGGCATCACTGCATTCTGAACGACATGCTGTACTGGTACCTCTGAGTCTATTACTCTGCGCCAGTATTTCTTATCTGTAGATGTATCTTTGCTGTGAATCACCGTGTAGACGCGTTGTATTATCACATCAGAGTGGACGCGGTCGCACGGCGCGGCAGAGGGCGCCATTAGCATACAAGTGAATTATCTCGATCTGCGGGCGCGAAGCTGATTGCAGTCGTAACGCTTCCGCGGCGTATTGAATTCGGAACCAACGGTGCAGCCTGCGCCGGCCGTGTGATTCCTAACGATAGCCATCTCTCCACGTACACTAGCGGCGTACTTGATATATACCAGCGCATCGCTCTTTAGTGCTATCACTTCGTCTTGCTTGCTGCTATCACTTGGACCATTTATCAAGGGGAAAGTAATTTCCTCAAATCAATGTTCTTTCTTGATACGGTACTCAGGCTTCACAACGGATATGTCTCTTGCATTTTGTATTCATACAGAAAAACTCCAATACAAAATACATTGAATACGGTTTGTTGAATTTTACTCCAAAGCGTACAGCTATCTTATAAATTGTAAATACAGCGCCTTTTTCGTATACACCTGCAATAAAGTAAACATTTTACATTGCACTGACGGAGTGAGAAATGACAGGCGCGTTATATTATTTATTAACCATTATATGTTTATTGATTACAGTAAATGGAAATCGTAATGGTTTAAATAGTTATCGTGATGAACTAATACCTACATCGTAAACATGTTTTGTTTACATTAGTTTGTGCAACGAAAATAAACGTTTAGGAGAGTTAGGTTTTTTTTACAACAAAACAGTTTAATGCAGATTTTGCTTTTATTTACTTAGGATTATTGTTAGATTAATTCATGCCAGGAGAAGATATAATAACAAGAGATTCCTTGTTAGAAAGTTTATGATTTATGGATCCTTGAAAACAGACATTTCAACGTATAATATTGTTGTTGTAATATATGGGAAGACGAGGAAATGTTCAAGGATTTCGCAAGCAGGGCGCGTGACACGGAGGTAGTGCAGAGGGGACACATAACGGTGACATTAGCGTTTATCGTGTTCTTGTCTGGAGACACCGTGCCGCCGTGTCTACCAGGCAAGCATAACCACGACGCAGGGTCAAACGGACTCGCGTGGGAAGTCTATACTAACACCGACAGCATATTATAAACAATATTATAATCATAAAATGTTATCAAGAGAATATTACTTGGTTTTTATTATAGCAAGTTTGCCTTATAAATTTTGCTATTAAATATACTAATTAATAAAGCAGACCCAATCACCAGATGGAAATACGAAAACCAAACGGTTAGAACTAATTTACATCTAAAAATAATAATAGTTGCCTCAATTTGAGTGACAGTTTTGATTTATTCTACATATGTACAGAATGTTAGGTTGACACGTGCGCTTCTATCCATTTTATTTTTCATTTAAATTGCAGTCGGTGTCTTTAATAAACAGCGATTTATAATTGAATTTCACCTAAAGTATTAATCAAATGGTGTTAAAGATCAAATGTTTGTATGGCAAAAATAACAAAATTACATGAGTTACGTGTGGTGCGGTGCGGTTATTATAGCCCAAAGCAAATGGTATGAAGGAAGGGTCATAGGGCATTGATAGAAGACCTCGGAGTGTGTCGTATTAGCCCACAGCAAGTTGTAATAAATCACAAAAGTGACAACGCAGAAATAATTAATTCCAGTATATTCAATTAGGGAATTACTACGTTGATTGTAGTATTAATTAATAACCTATTGGTTGTATCAACGGTTTTATTTTATTTTTGCCTGACTACTAAATTCTCCCTCAGGAAATTTTTTAGAATGTAATAAAACTCCAAACGTAAACATATCCTTTAGTCCACAACATCGTACATAAAGTTTTAATGTGAAAGTTCTATTGAGATAATCCTGTTTTATAATGTAAAATTATTTGCTAACAGCTGTTGCAGTTTAATCTGCCTGTATCCCGATACTCGCGCCCACAAGATACACGACGTTATGTAGTGTCTTGTCTGGCTTACGATAAATTAATCTTAAAATGTCACAGCGCTCTCTAAAATTTCAAGTGTATACTTAGATTTAGAATTTTAACTCTAGTCGGTAAGTAATCCAAATCAGATAAACTGCATATCTTATAATTATGTTTGCCTAGTAATACTATTAATGCGAAAGTTTAGATGCATGTATAAATGTTTATTAAAATTTAGTTACACTTAATTCTACGCGTACGGAGTCGCGGGCGAAATCTAGTTTTATATATGTTGTCAGAAATCATACGTCGTCAGGTATTTCTCATATTGAAGATATTTACAACACTTATAAAACATTGTGGGCTGCTTACAACATAGTTCATTTATTTTTTAAAGTATAAACTAAGACCTTTACCAGGGTTCAATCAGTTCTTAACTGATCCCAAAAGCGAATATTTTTAAAAAGTATGCCCAGTTTTGACTTAATACAGAGAGAAAAACAGTGAATTCAATAAACAAAAGTGTGACGCTTAGTCGAGTGTGATGAACAGGTAGATGAAGATAAGGAAATGTTCTAATTTTCTTCTTATCATAAAGTGCCATCTTCTTTCGAAGTTCGGCCATCATACTTTTAGTTTTGAAGAATTCTAATTTAAGCAATAGTACTTTATCCCACCACTTACTGGTTTTTACGGTTTTAAAGAAACCATAAGGTAATTCTAGCGTTTTTCCCAGAGGAGAGTTCATCACTATTTTGCACAGATTACAGATACTTTGTACCAACGACACATTTTATGCTCTTTGATTACTAAATGTCACGTCACTGACAGGACATGTGTGCGACAAAAATGGTGACCGAATACCAGCTGGCATTCATTTTCTGATGTTATAAAACCTGACATTTCTTTTATAATAAAAGTGGAGTGTTATGGCGTCCGTTTTGGATTTGATCAAACATTATCAGCATGCTATTGAAAGATATTCTAATGACGAACAAAAAGTAAGTTTAATTATCAAATCTTCCTTGTTCTGAAATGATTTTTCATACTTCACCATAAATGTTTTAAATAATATGATTAATGGCTTCATTGAACGGGAATAGAAATCAGTTACATCTGCTCACTTTAGTTTGATAGGATTTAAAAATGATACAGTATTATCCCTAAGTTTCCCTAATTGGCCACATAGCTATGTATCTGTCAAACTTTATGTAGAATTTTAATCTATTTATAGTAATATATTTAGTTAGGCCAATGAAAATGTTTATCTTTATATATTTCATTGTATATTTACAAGTTTTATCTTCCACTTAATTCTAATAATACACTTGATAAACCTCTGATATTCAAACATCGCGTTTGCGTCAATGAAAGCTATTCCATGCTATTATGAATTCAAATTAACAGTTTTGTGTAAAATTGACTCTACCTGGTTATCACGGTATCTATGGTCTATGTAACTATGCATACAAATATTCATGTTGACTACAACATAACAGAACAATAATTCTGTAATTGTAGATATTCAATGTGGCTGATTAACCATTGTATCATAGGGTGGACAGTAATGGTACAATTGTTTAATACTTTTGAACTTTTTTAAAAAGTTTTACAGTCATATGGGGATTTATAAAACCTTGTATGCTAACCCTGTAAGTGGTATAAAACCAGGGAGCAGATGACATTAAAGCCAGTACTGTTAGCTAAAATAAGGTTAATGATGACTTTTGTGTTAAATAGACATGAAAACAATAAAAGTACTTTTATCTTATACCACAGACAATATTATACTATACATAATTACCTTATATAAGACATATAAACTCCACCAACTACTAGTTTGTAAGTCTTCAACTAAGCATCATCATTTTATTAATAATAGTATAAAGAATAAAAATCTAAATGAATGTCTTGGTACATTTAAGTAAAATTTACATACAGCAAAGAAATATTGTCATATTTTTAGGAGTACAGACAAACATTCAACACATTTTAAAATTTGATATTTACATTAAAGATTATTTTGAAAGTGTTAATTTTTAAATTAGTAGTCCTTGTTTCAGATTTTAAAATGTATAAACAAGTTATTTCAACTGGATGTTACTGTACAACATCTGCAAGAGACTGGTGTAGGCAGAACTGTGAATGCATTGCGCAAAGAGTCCGGCGATGTGGGCCAAGCTGCCCGGGCCCTAGTCTACAAATGGAAGGTGATGGTGGCAGCGGAAGAAAGTGACCAGGAAGGGGACCACAGAAATGACAGTGAGCCTTCATAAGTTATAAATTTCATTGTTTTACGTAAACATTACAACTATTCATAATATTAAGCATGTTTGGATGTGTTGATATTTAGGTTTAGAAGTCAATATTTTTGCAAATAGAATTAATGCACATGTATGTTTTTATTTCATTTTTCGTTTTCTAGAATATCATTAACGGCATGTTGTTTTTTAAATGTTTTTGTTTCAATGTTTATTTTAATGTCAATAAAAAGTTATATTAAACATTTTTAAGTAATGAATGTAATTATTTTTGGAGTTCTTGAAACTTCAAGTAACCAAATCAATAAACTAGATAACACCTTACTATTCTTAAATTATTTTTCTTTATGTTTGTATTATCTTTAGTCAAACATTTATTTACAAATAAACTAGATTAGACAATCATAAAATAAAAGATTGGTTTCATGCAATATGACTCAAAAGTTACAGTAAAGGATTGAAAACAAGTTACATAAAATGAATGATCCATATATTCAAAGATTCTTGATGCCACATGAATTATGCAATTTGAATTTAAATGAGTGGGTTTTTCCAGCGGCGGGATGTTTTGATGTAAATTTCGGGATGTGTCGCATCTTATCCCGCTACTGGAATTTTCCTGCTTGTGCATGTCATCATTTCTATTAATATTTCTTTTCTTCAAGTGTGTTTTAGAGTGGTATACAAAATGTAGCCTATATGTAATAACTTATAGGGTAAATGTAAGTTCTTTATTTAATCAGCATCAAACTACAATGGCCATATAAGTGAAAGGGATAGTGAAGATAGTACACCTCAGTCTAAAAGTAGACATGATCAGTACGAAAAATCCTCAAAGTCGAGCAAATCTACAGATGACTATAGACATATGAATGGTGATAGCAGTTCACATAAACGAAGACATCACAGCACAGAGGTTGGTACCTTTTTTTAACTGCAATTTTACATTGATTTTAGCATAATATAATTTTTTATACTACATTATTACAGGATGAAGAACCTGAAACAAAAAAATCAAAGCACTCTAGTACCAATGAAGATAAATACAAAAGAAAGCATGTCAAAAGTGAATCAAGTGAAAGTGACACACAAGACACAGACAATTCTCAAAGTGATAGTAGTGAATCTGACACATCACAAAGTTCGGAAGAAGATAGAAAACCAACACATCATAAAATAAAAGAAGAAAAACAGGAACAAGTAAAATCCTCAAATTCTTCTAAACACACTTCACACAGTAGTCATAAAGATCGTAAAAGTGATTCCGCATCAGAGAAACGACATGATTCATCAGAAAAACATTCAAAGCATCGTTCGGAGTCAACAAAATCAGAAAAACCACCAGAAGAAAAATTAAGTAGCTCACATAAACAATCCAACACCAAAGATAAAGAAAGCTCCTCTAATAAAAAAGAAAAATCGAGTCATAAATCTATTGAGAAAGACAAGAAAAGTGAATCTTCAAGTAAGCACAGCAGTTCTAAGAAAGAAAGTTCAAGCAAAGCTGACAAACATAAAAATTCTTCTGAAAAACATTCTAGTGCATCAGAGAAACTGAATAGTTCAAACGAAAAAGCAGAAAAAACAAAGGAAAAGTCGTCAAGTAAAGAATTATCGAGAGAGAACCATAAGTCAAGAGAAAGTAGTAGTAGCAAGCACAGTTCCTCTAGTAAAGATAGATCAAGTAAAGACAGATCAAGTAAAGACAGATCAAGTAAAGACAAATCAAGCAAAGACAAATCAAGCAAAGACGATTCAAGTAAAGATAGGTCAAGAGAAAAACACTCGTCATCAAAAGAATCAGATCATAGTCAAAAATCTGACAAAAAGCATGCATCTGATGGCAGTTCAAAAGATAGAAAAGAAAAACATAAAAAAGAAAGTGATAAAAATGGTGATGATAAAAAGAAACATTCTCATTCTTCATCAAAATCGAGTAAATCTAGCTCCAGTAAGTCAACAGAAGATATACCAAAGAAAAAAGCTCCTATAAGTCACAGTGAGGACAGTGACGATGGGATTGACTGTGGGTCAGGTACGTAAAAAATTACATCATTTCTTGCTCCTGTGACATGTATATCATACTTCGATATATAGATGGCTGTTTGTTATTGTATCTCTGAGGCGGTATTGCATAGTCTGGAGGAACACATACTAAGTTTTTAAAGAGAATAGGGAAGACAGAATGCCTTAGATGCCTCTTTTACTTGAGGGTGACCAATAGTGTAAATTAATTTATGATATTTCAGGTGCCAGCTTCGCTGAAGCGCTTGGTATGATAAGTCCAACCAAGCCTAAAAAGAAAACTAATGCAGTCAAAGAATTTCAATCGCCGAATGCGTTTCCCGATGTAAGTACATAATTTTTTATTTTTTGCAGAAAATTATATCTCATGACTTTTCGCTACAAAAAACATTGACATGCTCCTTGGGGACCATAGACTTTTAGACATAAAAAAAAGTTTCGTTTTAAACCTCATATGGAAATTTTGTTTTAATTAATGATAATTACTAATAAAATAGATGTTGCAACCAAATTACAAATAGTTTATTGTTATCACTTTGAATCCCCAACAAACACATTTGAAACCACAACAACGTAAATATTATCTTGCAGGTGATAAGAACTATAATAATACAGATACTTTGCACAACACAAGGCAGCATCAGACATTACATATTTATGACCTATTCCTTTGTTGTAAACACAAAATACATAATGCGGTAACCTTGCTCTCGTCTTTAAATGATTTTACATATTTTTTCTACATTATGCTATAATATATCGAGGTCGTAAAAGTACCAAGTTTGAAATGTAATAATCGGGGAAATTCTGTAATTTACTCAAAGAGATAAATGGGGAATCCCAAAGAGGAAAAATAATTAATAAATAATAACGGTTGAATTAATTTTAATAATTCTTTCGTCTTAACAAGCTTACTCCATGGAGAATTTAATATTTTATCCTTTATTATATCTATGTATGAAAGAAAGATGTCATAGAATGTATAGGGATAACAAAAGGCGATTGTTTTCTGTTTTTTTTTTTATGATTTAGTCAATATAAAACATATAACAACAAAATTATTGAAATAAACATAATTTTTATAGTTGAGTCCGGCTTCGTTATTGGCTCCTACTGCTAAACTAGCGCCTCTACCGGCATTGGAAATCTCCGCTCTGCCAGAAATCTCACCAAATTACAAACCTCGTCCCCCACCAAAACTTCTACCACATTTTACCGATGAGGATGCTATGAGTCATGTTATATCTTCCAAAAATCAAAGGTATAAACATTACATATTTAATTTTTTATAATTATTTTTATAATGCAACAACAAAGTGTATCTTATTTATTTTTTTTAGAACAAAAGTCTATTCGGGAAACAAAGTTATAGGAAAAATACCAACTTTGTATGAGATGTGTGTACATGTACTTCAAGAACACATTGATGGTAAGTTTAAGAAAAAACATTTTATTATAATCTTTATGTAAATTAATTGAATTTGAAAATTGCTAAAACTACAATGATTAATAACATGCTTGATTCCTATTTTTAAAGATTTAAATTAGGAAATTACAAATTTCCTATAGGATATTTATAGAAAAATGGTAAAAAACACTGATAATGATGTCATCCACAAATAAATATATTTCATCAATTTTCAGCGCTTGAATACACAGGTGGTGTGCCATATGAGATACTGAAGCCAGTAGTGGACATGGCATCACCGCAGCAACTGTTCATGTTGGAACACTTCAACCCATACCTCATGGATGATACAGATCATTTGTGGCAAAAGTTCTGCGAGAAACACTTCCGGAACAAACAGAGACAGGAAATGGAAACATGGAGGGAAATGTATATGGTAAGCTTGATATATCTTGTTTGTTTATTGTATACAAATTAAATTGATTTCACTTATTGTGTTATCTGTGAACAGTGTAGGTTATCTAATCTGTGGCTAATAAAGGTCTTTTTTACTCACACTTGCGCACGAATGCAGAAAATGTCTATTTTGTTTATTGATTTTTTGTTGAGGTTTTTATTATTTTATTTGCTCTCTTAGTACAAGAAATTACATTTATTATATTACATTAGACGCAATATTTCTTATACTTAAAATTTACAGAGATGTCAAGAAGAACAGGAACACAGATTGAAATCACTAACGGCAAATATTAAACAAACCCAAGAAGCTAAAAAGGCGCCCATCAAACAGACAAAGATGGCGTACGTCGATACCATCGTGAAGCCACCTCGGAACGTTTTGAGGAAACAAGTTAGTATTATAATAAAATTTACATTTTAATAATTTGTACAAGGTACCTAGAAATTTGAGTAATGGAGTAAATATTTAAATTTACACAGTTCGGTAGATACTAACTAACTATAGGCCATATAATCTAGTTTGTTGTACAATCGCAGCAAAAATTTCCACTGCATCACTTTCCCGGCAAAACTAATGAAAAATATGATTTTTTTCGATATTACATACACAGACACTAGAATTTTATTAACTGTATAGAAAATCTAGATTTTAATCATGAATAAAATTTTTTTTCAAGGCTCAACATGGTACGGCACATGCGTCAACCGCTAGTCCAGCCGCGAGGGTGGCAGCGCTAGCGTCCGCCCCCAACGTACTGCGTGGGGGGTCAGTTCGACCCCCTCCCTCAGCACCAGTCTCCTCCTCCAACTTAAACAAGCCCAAAAAAGCACCCCTCATGCAGAAAGCACTACAGTTCATGCGCGGACGCAAACGATGATCGTTGTCATACAATTTGCATGTGACTTGTAAATATTCATGATGTTCTTATTGCAAAGCTTAAAGCAAATGTCAAAAACAATATGTTTGTGTAATTAGGGAAACTTTGTAAAAGACAACTGTTTTAGATATAGATTCATGGGAAATTAAAATAATTGCTAATTATAAAATAATTGAATGTGTAAATCGATGTGATTTAAAAATTGTACCATATCTCTATAAAAATATTTTATTATCAAAATTTAAAATCTTTGTAAACAATATTTTCATAAAGTGTATGGAACACACTCTAATTGAAATAAAATATTTAATGCAAAAAGGGACGAATCTGTAGGAGCAGATTTATTAATGTTTTAACTTTTTAATCAATATGATTTGCATCATTCATTATTTGTCCCATATTTGTTAACAAAAAGAAAACAGCTTTAATTTTAAATGTCCAAATACATCATCAAAATCTGTAATTGTACATAGTAAGGTAAATAAGTTATTTTTTTTAAATTAATTCTGACGTTTTTAGATATAATAGTAGCCATAAATAGTAAGGAAATGAATCAAAATACATTACTAATCCATTATCATCAAAAACAAATAAATCAGTGCTGTAAACTATGAGCGCAATTTATTGTTTTAGGACCATTTCTTACCATCATACTAAATCTGAAAGTCTGAGTTCATTTACTATGGAAAAAAGTTATGTATGAAATGTTAAAAAAAACGCGGCTTAGAGTGACTTAGAGTTGAAAACTTATTACGACGCCATAATAGTTTGTACTATTTATACTTTAAACACTCTAAGAATACTTGTAAATAATGCTTGAAATATAGTATGTTTTATTGATGTTAATAGCTAAATTTTGTTCCTGTACCTAACCAAAAAGGATGTACAGCACTAAAATTGTACTTTCTAGGACAAGTAAATCCTTAAAATTTATTGTAGTTTTAAAGTCCTTTGATCTTTTTATGACTTTATTGTTTAATTAAATAAAAAAAAGTAAGGGAGTCTAGGTATATATTGCCAGTTTAATATAGACAATGAAATGTTATATTATCTATGATGGACATTTATTAGGAGACTTAAAACATATTTTTATACAAACAAAATGTAGTAAAGTACAAGGAGTTAAATTTATATACATTCATCATAGTCACAATATGATTTTAACAACCTGAAATTGAGTTTTAAAATCATTCTGTGTCTTTAGTTTATCTGTGGATTTTTCCAGTCTATATAAACATAACCAGAACTTTTATTAAAGTTTCTGAAGATAAAACCTAAAAACCAATTTGTTTCATTACATTTTGTAAATATGAAAATCTATGTGCCTATTATTTTTATACTATTCTTTCTCTTGATTGATTTTACATTTATTCTTAGATTAAGATAATTATAAATTAATTATGTTTGAATAATTCAGTAATGGGTTGAATGATTGAATTGTTACTTTTTAATGTGGTGATATAAATATTTCAAGAATAAAAAGTTTTTCATTTTAAAACATTGACCACTTTGTAATTTAAAAAGATAAATATACCAGTACCAGAGATCTGGCTATATGTTTTATAGATTTACAAAGAATTTCTGCAAGCAATATTTGAAAATGTACACCGTATTATATCTATCAAAGATTCTATGACATTTTATGTAAACATTTAATTTCTCGAATTGGTTATATGAAGTTGAAGTTACAAAAAATATCTAAATCGATCAGTTTAAAAAGAAAAAAAACTATCAAAACTTGAAATTACCTGACAAACCAGATTAATTAATTCAATTCAAAGAATGTATATATTACACTTAAATATTTGAATTTCGAACTGGGACTAAACCACAGATAAATGAAAGAATGACAACTGAGTAGAGAACTGAAATGTCAAGTATCAGGCAACATTCCAAAAAAAAACAAATGCCGCAAAGTGTTTTTTTTATAATAACTTAAAACAAGATAAAAATTATTAAGTATGTTAGATATGATTAAAAAGTAAGAAAAAATGGATATTTTAAAATACAGCATGTTAATTCGTTATGCTATTTTCATTATCTGTTCTGCGTCAACGTTAACGCTCGTGAATTTGCTCGTGAATGAGGCAATGAGGCTAACAAAAACGCCGCAATGTAACCATAAATATATAGTCGGAGGCTCGTGGCGCTTGTAGTTTGTCGGGCCGGGTCGTCTCTGCAGATTAACAAATTATAAATTCGTGTATATTAACTTTAAGTGTAGGGCGACCCGATTCCAAACCCGACCAGAGTACTTAAGTATTAACGACAATGTTGCATTTAAAGAACATTGCAAAATCTGTGGTACCGCCCCTCAAGAATTCTGTTCAAAATGAAGGAGTCAATAATATGTTCAGAATTGCGCCCGCAGCTGTTAACGTTTGCTGCAGAACCTACGCAAGCCATGAAATTCCAGACAGGCTCAAGGATGTGCCGACGAGTGCAAACCCAAGGTTCTTTGATATGGTTGAATACTTCTTTCATAGAGCCTGTCAAGTAATAGAAGATAAACTGGTGGAAGACGTAAAATCTAGAGTATCAACAGAAGAAAAGAAGAAAAAAGTCGCCGGTATCCTGAAACTTATGCAGCCATGTGATCATATCTTGGAAATTCAATTTCCACTTAAACGTGATTCCGGTGATTACGAAATGATTCTTGGGTACCGGGCGCAACACTCCTCGCACAGGACCCCTACAAAAGGAGGTAAGTCTTTATTGATTGAATATTATAATATCTCGTCGCCTCGTGGAACTCATTGTTACAGGATTTTTTATTTATAGCTCAGAGACACGTGATGTTAACGACCGTAGGTAGCGTTACGTAGATTCCTAACCAAATCTATGCGCACACAACTTGTATCCAGTTTTTTTTTGCAATTCCCAAATTTAATCATTTAATGTAGAAGAACGTAAGTTTGTAAAGTACTATACGTAGTAATTGCACGAAGAAAATTATAACTTTATAATTAGTACCATAAAATTAACATTTAATTGTCTATTAATTTGGAATTATTGCATTATAGGACAGCAATTAAAAAATAATTTCATATTTTATCGCCTTTCCTAGTAAGCTGAAGAGTATATTAAAGTAACACCTTAATATTCAATGTTTTAATTGAAATATAATGTAAATAATTAAGTAATCAGAATACGAATGAAGAGATTATTACAAAACTATAAATTGTAACTTTTCATTCATGAACTGTCAAGATATCCTCTTCCATTCTATTGTTTTTCGGCCTTTTTGTTGTCAAATCGAAAAATGTATCCAGAGTTAGTTAACACACTTAACAAAACTATCTGTGGAAGTTACGAAACAGTCGTAAATTTTTAGATTTGAGCCCTCTTGATGTAAAATCTTGATTTTATCCCCGACCCAAATTTCGGAAGAACTATCAAAACTCATTCTATCCCTACTTTATGGTCTCCCTTTATGGGTTAACTAGAAACCGTTGGACCTCTCGAGGCCATTAAACCCTGAAGAGCAATTGTCTTATATTCGTAGCCTTTAAGATCATGTCCTAAAACCATCTACTGGATGATGTAAATCTTTTCCAATTAACCTTGAAGGTCTAAACTGGGGACTAAAAACATCTATTAATAAGAATAATCCATGACCTAGGCTTTCCAGACGATAATTCCCCTTATCTGCTCAGACAACTGGGTAAATTAAACAAATAAAAAATAATAATTCCAATACGTAAGATCATTTTAAAATAAAAAATAACAATTCGAGACAAGCCTTCACAGGCAAATTTCGCTTACGACAAAACAAGCCTGAAATGCATTGTTCTGCAGTTTTCATGCATTTACGGTCCAATGATAATGACATTGAAATGATTTCAGTCAGAGAATTTATTTCCTTAATTCGGGACGATTCCCCTCATTGTTAAAGCATAAACAAAAGCCAATTAAAAAGCTTTCATGATTCCAATTCATGTTTTTTCGTTTAATATAATTTGTAATTTCATCTTAATTTTCAATTAAATTGTATATGACAAGGGCATCTTTAGTTATGAGTGGAGGTACACAGGTAGAGGTAGGCCTAGAAAGAGATGGATGGATTGCGTGAAAGGATACATGATCGAGAAGGGATTGACGACAGATAGATTAACCTTAAAGACGAAAAGGTGAAAATGATTAAAATAAATTGTATGTTATCTAGGTTTTAGACGACATGGGAGTCATGAGTGAAAATAGCCATCAGGTGACCATTTTATTTTCGTCGGGGATAGGACAAACAAGTAAATTGCAATAAGTTTTTAATACAATATGTGATAAAATCACTCAACAACAACAATCAATAAAGTTAAGCTCAAAATATACTTAACACTTAAATTATTTTTATGTGATAAAAAACGAAACTTGATAAAAACGTTACATTCACAAATCGCCTATAGCAACAGGGGGCGTGGCTGCTACGTCATTTGTATTGCGCAATTTTTAGAACAACTCTATCCCACATACGATTATATAACTAAGGACGGTCAACAAAAATGTCGGGTAAATTTAATAATCACGTACAAATGATATTTGAAAACTCAGAGAAGTCACGTTTTCGCACACCCACCTTACGTGACGTCACTCCTGCTTACTTGACTACAGACGATATCACCTGATTGATAAACATATTAGATTAGATCTACACGCGTGCCTTATCCGTTTTGTTTTTTTTAATGTTCGTTACGTTTCTTCTCGTATTTATACATATATAGATAGAAACGGTTATCCACTGTCCCTCGTAGTTTTGAATTGAATCTATGCCATTTGACGTAATATGCTAGAATACATGACTATGGCGTCATCTTTATTATACACTGGGTAAAATAATTACAATATAACGATAGCTCATAGTACCTTGTATATTATATAACTTCTGTCAATGACCTTACCTGCGACAGTTGCATCGATTACAAGGATTTCATACCACAGCATTGAAGAGTTTATTATTTTGTTATAAATTCACTTCTCTAAATTGATAACAGAAAGGCCTAGAAAAGAATTGTGTATGCATACATTGAATATTGGAGCAGTACATCAACATGATAAACACTAATATATGTAAATTAAATGTAAACACACGATACGTAAATATGTATCGACTATACAGCGGTCTAATATAATGCATAACAAATGTTTGTTTGTCCTGCTAAACAGGTATACGATTCTCAACCGACGTGACCAGAGATGAAGTCAAGGCTCTATCCGCTCTGATGACGTTCAAGTGTGCGTGCGTCGATGTGCCCTTCGGCGGCGCCAAGGCCGGCATCAAGATCAACCCCAAGGAATACTCTGAACATGAATTAGAAAAGATTACTCGTCGTTTCGCTCTCGAGCTTGCCAAAAAGGGTTTCATCGGTAAGAATATGATGTCTATACTAATATTATAAAGAGAAAAGATTTGCGTTCTTGTATGTATTGAAATAACTCAAAAACTACTAGACCGATTTCAAAAATTCTTTAAAAATCACCAATTAAAAATCTATGTAACCACTGAGTAACATAGACTTCTTTTTCACTTTTTTTAAATTCCCCACGGACGAAGTCGCGAGCATAAGCTAGTATTTCACAATCATGTAACCTTAGTAGAAGAATACGGTGAAACGGATTTGACACTCTCCCATAAGTTTGTATTAGAAAATATAGACGTTATCATAATTTACGGACGTGATCGTCTTTGTTGAGGCCTATACCTGGAATTATTACTGTTATGTCTATATTAATTAGTTCATCGCGTCTTCTGATAGTCGAAATTATTAGGTTTAGGAACAGATTAGTTGAATAAGATTCGTGTCAAATCGCATAAACATACAAAACAAAATAAATGAATACGTAACTCAACAACCTCATAAAAACAATTAATAATTATTACGATATTTTATTGATGTACAATTACGTATTACGATCTGATGTTTGTGTTTACGTTTGTACACGAAGCGTTGTTTAGGTGGCATTATTATTATAAACATTTGATTGTCTTTTATTTATCTGTATATTATAATGGCATTGAAAAGTGCTTATCGCATATTTTTATTTTAGAAGCAACATTCATATATCAGCTATTGAAAATGATAGGTCAAGTAATCATGATTGATTATCCCCAAAAACTATTGAAGTGTAGTTATGTAACTTTCTATATACAATGTAAAAGTACATAATCCTTGCAATAATTAAGTTCGTTCTAGTTTATTTCCTTTAAAATGCGTCATCCTGTTTTAACAATTATTGTTTTAATTACTACAATTTAGACCTAACGAGAGAAACGTTTGTACATCACGACAACCGATATAAATGCATGTTTTACCATTAAAATTATCATTAGCATAGTTAACTTTCATTGGATAAAATACAATAACGTTCGGTAATAATGAAACCTCATTCATCATCATCATCATCACCAGCTCACTATACGTCCCCACCGAGGGGCTCGGAGCCTACCCTAAAAAGCTTCGAAACCTCATTACTATTTAAGAATAGTTTTAAACAAGACGAATAAAGCAAATAATAACAATAAAATTAAAGTTATCCTTATGTGTATTATCAATTTATCCTTGTACATTTTAAAATTGTCCTGTTTGCCATAACACTTAATAAAAACAATAATAGTCTCAAACTTTTATTAACAAATATTCATAGTTATACATTTAGGGATGTTACGTTACCTAATGCTTGCACTAAAACAAATAATAGTATAATATTTTTATCAATCTTAGGGCCTGGTGTAGATGTGCCCGCTCCCGATATGGGCACAGGTGAGCGTGAGATGTCCTGGATCGCGGACACCTACGCCAAGACCATTGGATATCAGGATATCAACGCCCACGCTTGTGTCACCGGCAAACCTATCAATCAGGTAAGTCCAAAGGGGAAATTAACTAGACACACGTCAAAATACAAGGCAGCTATTAAAATTTTTCTTTTTTACTTAATAAGCAAAATAAATTTTGTTAATATTGTAAAATAATAATAAAAAATGCTATCTACTTTTGGTCGAAAAAGTGTTTCGCCACAAATGTTTTAGAATTTTCGTGTTATAGCGTAACACACACTTTGTCTATGGTCATTGGTTTGCTTTGAAGCACGTATAGAACGTAGATTATACTCTCTAGTTTATATTTAACAAGTTCGAACAACTTAAATTTGAATAAAATTACCTTCGCGACTACGCATTTAAGATCACTGTTATCACTGGTCAAGTAAGATCATTAATTAAATATAATTAAAACAATAAAATTAGTATAAACCTGACCTCATGCGCGACACGTGAATGCTTTTTTACATCACCTATTCTTTAGGTAAATCTTGTTCATATCAGTTGTTTTGTTTTATTAAATTTGCTATATTATAAACTCGATAAGCCAAGAAAAAATATTTATAATCAGATAAATCGTTATGATGAAATAACACTGTAATGTGACATACTGAAAACTTCGTAAAATGTATACCCATTCCGGACAAAGAAAGCCAAATAGGTTGGTTATACTTACGACCTATTTACCTTTTCTTTGAAGGTACCCCTGTAATAATTAGTTAAACTTGTACGCAAGCAATAACAAATTAAAACAAGACTTGGTTTTACTCTAAGAGCGGCCGCACACTTTTAACAAAACTATTCCACAACTGTTATGCGATTGTCGATTGTTTCGCAGCCTATTCGACTGTTTAGTTGCATAAATAAAAATCGACAGCGACTATATTAGTTCATAGGAATAAAAGTTAGAATCAACAGTTGTGCAGTAGTTTAGTTTTAGGTAAACGCACGCTCTAAACGTCCAGAGGTAAAAAGACGAAAAAAAAGTATTATAGATTTAAAATAAAGCACGAATGTGAATCGTCACGTTACTCTCTAATCTTATCAATAGATTTCTGTTCAATTATCCGGAAGAACGAATTAATTTAAATACATATTTGGCGTGAAATAAGCACGTCACCTAGTCCTAGTAAGGCTTAAAGTAAAGCAACTAGTTTACTTGTACTTGTACTGGTTGCACATGTTTCTTCTTGACTGAGGTTCTCTTTGAATTGAACACATATGTCAGCATTTTAATCACAATTCTAAAACATAAGTAAAATTGTTTTCGTAAATAGCCTCCGTAAAAAGTAACATTAACCTCCAAAACTTCTGTACAAATATTGAGTTTGTTAATGTGTGCACAAATTGTTTAAATTACATGAAAGACAGCACAGTCTAGATATTAATATTAAGATATAATACTTCCATTATTATCTCTCTATTCCAAATAGATTAAAAAAGATAGGTAAAATTATCATTTGACGTAATGTCTGCTTATTATTAGGTAAAACATGGCGCTATGCAATTTATTAATGTTTTTATCATAGTTATCACTTCTTTCATATCTCAGTAACCTCTCTTTGCGATTTACCGATTTCTATACTTAAATTATAAAAAAAACACATAAATAGTAGTTAAAGACAGTTGTGAAGAAACTTTAGTTACCTATAAATAAAATATTTCGTTATCGTCATCGAATTACATTAAACGCGCTAAAACAAGTATCTTGAAGGTCAAAGTCAATTTCTTAACTGGTAACATTTGATTACATCATTATTTCTAAATTCATTTCGATACTGTACAATTAATAATAGTTTTAAATTTTTGCTACTTCGCAGATAGGATAATTGATCTATTTAAAGCAAATATGTAACTGTAAAATCAATGTATATGCTTCAAATTCGGGTCATTGAACTCCATGCCTAGTCGACTCCGCGTCACTGTTTTAGAAATATTCAATGTGCGCAAATATATTTTCGTCTGCTCGTACTTTTTTAGGATTTTTTTTTTGTAACCTGTCAAATGAGTTTTATGTGTCATAGCTCTCAGAATAGTATGCTAAATATTTTTTAAAGATAAAGTTATCATTGCTTACGTTACGTTGGGGAACAGCATTCTGAGAAGTGTATACCCTATGTGGGGTCCCGATCACGTTACATACCTCTTATAATCACTACTTATCATTCTAATTCAAAGTGTGTAGCACTTTTAACTTAATCTGAACATGAACAATGATTTATTTATCAGTCGCTTAAAGTTTTTAGTCTTTTTATTTTAAATAAGGATGTGTTTTTGGTATGCTAAGATGTTGCCTAACCACTATGTAACGGGACAGACTAAAATAATAACAAATTATTTCGTTTGCACAAACTTTCTAACCGCAGTATACCGATATTTCAGTCTGTCGTTCGTGAAGCCAAATTTATTGAATCGTGCCAAACTAAAAAATAAAAAAAATCGAAGTATTACAGTGCTCTTCTGCGTTTCACAGATTTTTAAGTGACGATTTTTTTTTATTAACATCTTATAGTTACAATCGACAATAATGCTATCAAGTTTCTTTAATTTTCTCCTGTTACTTAATATTTTTGACCCTAAACGTTAAGATGAAGTAAAGTATCGTATTTCGGCTTCTATAGACGAAATTCAATCTTTATGGAACGTTACCGACTGAGTAAAATTCTCGTTGGTAAAATTGTACACGAATTTAAAGCTTTTATTTTCAATTTATATGTAAAATATGTTTTATGCCTTACCTTTAGCATGCTTCTATTATAATTGGATTGGCTGTCAGCACAGTAACAAGATATCTATGTATATCGTAATTCGAACTTGACATAATTTAATTTCAATAACAGCCTTGCGAATTTAAATACCATAGGCTTTAGAACTAAGGTCTTCGTAAAGGCTAGATAAATCTACGATTTCCTCGTGATAGTAAATTGAAGAGCAGTATAAACAAGAGCATAAATATAAAAAGGTAGATTAATAATGCACACTCAAATTAAAAGTTTTTTTTTTTATTTTTTCGACCAGCTTCGGAGTATTCCAAGCAATTCTATAGCAGAAATAGTACATTAAAATTGTAAATTATCAAGGCAATAAATGTTTTTAGAAAGTTTATTCAAAGACGCTGCAATCTAAAGTAATATGACTTGGTCTCTCTAAAACTCCATCGTGATCAGTATAAAACTATTAAGTTTCTAAAATAAACTATAAATGTGATATGTTGCTAAAATGTGGTTGTGGAAGTCGCCATTATAATTGGTCTATTTCAACTATTATAATTTAGCCTTGACAACTCGTCACCGAATGTAAATTGGTATCGAAGAACGTGCGACAAAATTCACAAAATGTGATTAAAACTGAAACGTTCATCATCAACAGTGTACTTAAATTCAATTAATGAAAATGGTATTTGCTGCCAAATCTTTTGCCTAAAGCGCCAACAATTCTCAAGTGCTGGATAAAATTTTAATTATTACTACCTTTCGTGATTATTCATTATTGTAACAAAAGACACAGTTTTTTTATAATTATCTTATGTGTTTTTAATATTAATTTTTAAATTCGATGGACAATTTTATCGCGTCATATGATTTACACAGTAACGTCATCAATTTGTATTTCTTGTTCAGGGTGGCATCCACGGCAGAGTGTCTGCTACCGGTAGGGGCGTTTTCCACGGCCTGGAGAACTTCATCAACGAGGCAAACTACATGAGCATGATCGGTAAGTATTAATATACAAGGAGTTTTTCAGCTTCTTAGTATATGAAAAGAATTAGATATCATCATCATCCTCCTTATCCTACTTCTGTAGGGTCGGCGCGACATGTTTTCGTTCTTCACATAACTATATCATACGTCATCTCAGCCATCACTCCCTTTTTGATCATGTCACCTTTCACGCTATCCATCCATCTCTTTCTAAGTCTACCTCTACCGGCACACTCATAACTAATGTTCTCCTTGTATCATGCGATTCATCCCTCCTAAAATTATTTAAGAATTAGATATCTTTTCGTGGTATATTTGAGTATATTATATGCCTGTGGTAGGCACAACTCCGGGTTGGGGCGGCAAGACGTTCATAGTGCAGGGCTTCGGTAACGTGGGTCTGCACACGTGCCGCTACCTCGTGCGGGCCGGCGCCACCTGCATCGGCGTCATCGAGCACGACGGCGCCATACACAACCCTGAGGGAATCGACCCTAAGGTTAGTACTAATCAAACTTTACATCAACATCAAATACCGCACGAAATATACAATATACAACTTTTTTTAAATAAAAGACAATCTGCTATGTTATGACCTTTTTTCTGTGTTTTGATAAAACATCATTAATTTCAGAGTCATAAATTTAATGTTATCGTTATCAGGAAGAACTGCAGAACATGTACAAGATGATTTTTCATATATAAGTCTATGAGACTTCGGATATATTTTTAGCAACGTTTACGTGTATACCACCAACATACCAGTTCTATAAAAACAAAATCGCCGACTCGTAGACTATTGTCGTTATCGTTTCTGCTGGGTTCTTGTTATGCGGTTTGAGAGCGCCTGGAATAGAATCAGTAGGTTGCCTATTTTTGTACACAAGTGTAACCCAAAAACAACAGTCAATGACGGGCCGGAGCAATTTGCTTCATAAATATGCAATATACCTTTTGTTACACTTCTCACTGTTATATAACAAGTACATGAAAGTTTGAATTAAATTATTGCTATTTTAACTTTAGTGTTTTCTCTTTACTCTACTGATTTTAAAGATTTTTCAATTGTAGATGTTACTATAGATAGAAAGAAAAAAACAGAAAGTTTTTCAAATGTAATGTTTACGTAATAGTAGAATTTGTTGACCACAGTATGTAATCAAAATGTCAATTACACAACTGACTTGACAATAAATAACAAAAAGAGAGTAACAATGTCGTTCAACTAATTAAATTAAGTAGTATTTGCCATAAATTTATTGAACATAATTAATTACTGATTTTGACATATCAAATACGTCATGCAAATTTAATAAGATCAAACTAACATATTACTCTTAGTTTCTAGTGAAACACTAATATAAAACATTTTATCATTTCTCTAATTATTTTAAACCTATACATCATATAAATTTAAAATGTATTATTTCACATTAATAATTTATATTAAAGTGTGATTTTAGTTGATAACATTAACACATAGATTATTAATATAATTGATTGTGTTATAGATATTTTTATTACGTCGTGTAGTTTATTTGCGACTTATGACGTCAGCATGATACTAACAACTATAATATTATAATCATGATAGATGTTTGTGTTAGATTCCTAAGCAAAATAATATCACTCATGTTACATTGTTAACAAATTGTTTTTGTTATTGTGAAATTCAACTCATGTTGTTATCTTTTAAATTTAGCAAACGAGCGGCATGGCAATATTTTTACAAATATTTCGACAGTGTATGAAAGAAGAGATCATTTTGTAACTAATTTTCTCAGGGAAAAGTTATATAAATACTCGAGTTTATTGTCACGTTTCTTGGCTTGTTGGCATTTTAGTACATTTTTATTATGGTATTTATAAACACTTGACAGTTTATTACTTTACTTGTAAATAAAAATGAGTTATTACTCATAAAAAAACGAGGTTTTTGTACTTCCTTTTTTAATGCAGTTTAATAAGGGTAGTCATTTAAGGATTTATTCAAAAACATTTAAGAAATTTAATCAGCTTTGGTTGTCTTGTCTTGTATTCATATGGTAACATATGTACGTGTAATATTTAGGGCATTACATGTTGTAGTAATATGCATTTCTTAACTCGTAGCGCACCTATTGATTTTATTATATAGGACGACGCAGTCTAGCCATAATAATTACAGCTAACTTGTTAATAAAAAGCACAAACTATATAACTTCAGGCCGTATACGTTAAGAAAGGACGATAAACCAATTTTTACATACAATTTAACACTTGTATTCGCGGAAATCGATGATTTTTAGGTCTTTCCTGTCAATATTAGATTTCAAAGTATCACCTCTCGATACTAATATTAAGAGCGCGCGTACAGCTTTTACTAAACTATCGCACAACTGTTTCCACTCGCTTTGATTCCTATGAGCTTGTATGTAGGCGCACACACTACTCGATAGTTTGTTGTGGAACTAAACACTTGCTTTTGCTGCGAAACAAACGACAATCACACAACTGTTGTGCGATAATTTAGTCAAAGGTGCGCAAGCGCTTACAATATTGTCGTAATGTTATAGTCTATGTTCTATACAATAAAAGACTGCGTTCAATGTAATTTATTTCAGTAATACGATCTTAATATTTTATGCACTTTACTATCTTAGATCATTCTAGGAACATAAATCGAAAACAATGGCTTACTATCCCTGAATAATTTTACTAAGCGTTTACATATTTAATAGGCGTTGGAGGACTACCGTATCGAGAAGGGGACAATCGTGGGCTTCCCCGGCGCTCAGGCGTACGAGGGCGAGAACATGCTGTACGAGAAATGCGACATCCTCGTGCCAGCCGCCGTCGAACAAGTCATTCACAAGGAGAATGCACACAAGATACAGGCTAAGGTAACCACTTATTTTAACTTACTCTAGTTAAGAACACACTATGTTCTACTCAACACACATACTGTATCATTTAAGCTTTTTAACTAGCCACTTATCAAAAAACGATAATAACTACGACAGGAGTTAAACATTCCGGGAATATACGGTCGCAGTGACACCTCACACACCAAAATAACTGTGTTTACGATACAGCTCTATAAGTCACAATAGGCCCAACTAAAACCTATGGAAAACGTAACTCTTTCTTCTGAATGATAATGATCATATCTCAGTAATGAACACAGGTATAAAATAAGCATAGAGAACTGACTCTTACCCTTCTCTCTCTAATCACATGTGTTTATCCATTCTTTTGTTCTTTGGAATTGTATATGAAGTGAGAAGGATGTTAAAAGAACTAATTCTGTTAGATACACTTAGGAATGAACTGAGTATAAGAAAAAAATTGACCTGTTAATTTTTAATAAATTTACCATTGAAATTCTTATCAAAGATCCTAAACGATAACACATCTAGCTAAAAATTATAGTTATTTATCTGAATACTGTACCGATTTACATGATTGCTACAAAGATAAGATTGTACGAAAAAACATTATCAAGACTTTATAAAATAGATAAGATTAGTACAATGGAGCAAAGTAAACCATTGAAGCAAACTAGATAAGAAAAATTCTGTGTTATACCAATAGTAAAATAACTTAAAAATAAAATAATAGAAACAAAAATGAAAGTAAAGAGAAATTAATAAATTAAATATGTTTTTAAAATAACATTACTGATAAGCGATTTTATACAGTTCAAGGTCATAGACACATTGTTATTAAAATAAAAACCATAACGTGTTCTATCTTAGATTTACAACCATAAAGAATCAAATAGACATAGAAATAAACCACAACCATCGAATCGATTAGATTGCTTTACTCTCAATGATATATGAAGTGAATACATAATTGTTAGAAAGCCGTGCCCCTGTTGCTAATTAAAACTTATCAGTATGCTATCAAATGATAAGAGAGAAGTACCTTTTGAACGTGATACAATATTTTAAAACCTTGCCTCAATACATCATTGATATGAACTTTATCTTACTCGACAATGTCATAAGAATTTTTTATAACCACTGTTACCATTCGCACACGTATTCGTCATTTGATCAGCTGAATAAGTTATTTATTGTCTAAGATAAAATATCCGCTCAGATAAACTGTTACTAACGGATTAGTTTTGGTGACTAAAATAGTGGAAAATCCGTAGATAAACGTGGCAGGCTCTCATGGTCAAACTTAAAAGTCTCTTACAATTTTTCATTGAGACAGTTCAAAGTATATTTTAGGATGTATTAAAATCATTTTAAGAGTTATTGTAGTAATTCTACTACAACTTAGTACCAATTAGTCACTGTTGAAATATTTATAAGGCCCTTAGTTGTGTTTTATATTGTTGTATCTGTCTTTGAACAACATAAAATAGTTGATACACTGCTTGCATACATTAGCTATGAACATTGCCATCAGAACATCATTGGGTATACAAATTGCATATCACTGTCGCCTGTACTTCCATAATAATGCAATTCCATTTCCTTTATTCAGATCATCGCGGAAGCTGCCAACGGGCCAACGACCCCCGCAGCCGACAAGATCCTGATCGACCGCAACATCCTGGTCATCCCTGACCTGTACATCAACGCTGGTGGTGTGACAGTTTCCTTCTTCGAGTGGCTCAAGAACCTCAACCATGTCTCATACGGAAGACTCACCTTCAAATACGAGCGCGACTCCAACCACCATCTCTTGGGTGAGTCAAAAACTCCGAGCCATCTCAAAAAACTCAACTATTATACCATTACTCCAGCTCTCAGAACGGAATTTTGAAAAATCAAGGTTATTGAAAAATTATTTCACGAAGACATACAAAGTGCGTTCTAGACGAATAAATAAGTACTTATAAGGAAAGTTTTTTGATACATAAACTATTATATCGATCAAAGCGCGGTCTAAGAATTAAAACAATGTTCAGGTATTTTTTTTGTGGTAATGAAATCAATCTTTATACACTCTTACCCCAATTTCCTTGAATCAAAGAGTGATAGGAAATAAGAAGATTTTATTCTTACATTAATTCATTTGTGTGTTGTGTGACAGAATCCGTACAAGAATCCCTAGAAAGACGCTTTGGTCGCGTCGGCGGCCGCATCCCCGTGACGCCATCCGAGGCCTTCCAGAAACGTATCTCCGGCGCCTCCGAGAAAGATATCGTGCACTCCGGTCTCGACTACACCATGGAGAGATCTGCTAGGGTGAATTGCTTAAAAATATTACATTGAAATATACTTTAAGTTTTGTTGTTGGTCAGAATTTCAGTCATTGTTGGTTAGGATATCATATAAAGAGCACCTGAAACCAATGCATGTATGTATAGATGTATGAATGAATAATAGATTCTTTTGCATCTCAAAATTTACCTGTCTCAGTATAAAAGTTTAGGATACCTGTGAAGATACGGTACGGTACGGTGCAACAATAACGGTATATACTTCCTTCCACCACACTTAATGACTAAAGACCTGTAAAAAATCCAACAAAAGCTAAGCAAGGCTATTATTATTCATGCTTTTATCTTTTTTTTCTTCAGGCTATTATGAAGACCGCAATGAAGTTCAACTTGGGTCTAGATCTGAGAACCGCCGCGTACGCCAACTCCATAGAGAAGATATTCACCACGTACGCCGACGCCGGCCTTGCATTCTAAATAATTACTATTTTACTTAAAATTGGCTGCATTTTGTAGACTCTCCATTAGTAACCCCGAGCACAGCATAAGACATTTTAATCACAGTATTTTTTCTTTATTGAAATCATGGCGTTTTAATATTATTTTAATTGTAAGCGAAAGTTGTAATTTCGATTTGTATTGTCTTCAATTTAAATAAATCTTGTTTTACTGTTAGTTCTTTTTTATTTGAGATTACCTTCACATTACCTGTATAAAAATAACACCAAACTCTTTAACCTCTAATCCCTATTATTAGTAAGCTAAGTGCTCGGGAAACCAAGCATAATAAATTTCATGAGGTCTAACCCATGCTAATGGCTATAAAGTGTAAAGCCCAATTTCAAGAGTAAAAAAAGAAACGTGGAATCCATATTTAAAAAGAAGGAAACCTGAATAAGGTGCTTTTACGATTTAAGCTATAGTAAATGCAAAATAAAATTTTGGCGCAACATAAAATGTTTGAAACAGCGCAAAACTTTTTACACCACTTGAACCATAGACACTAAATGTTGTTTTACTTCGTCAACTAGTTTATCGTAATGTACTATTAACGTGTAACTGCTAAACACGTTATTCGCTATATTTTTTGCTTAATCTGTTATGACTGTTTAAGACGTTTCCGAACGCAGCTACTTACGTGTATGCTGTCGATGTCATTATCTTGTCAAGTAATGTGCATCATAAATTATTTGCATTACGCTCTTAGATAGTATTTTTGGATAATTGAACCCGGTATAGAAAATAACAAAAATGTTCATCTCCCCCATCGTTGTTACTATACTAGTCACGTTAATTAGTGGAATATTTTCCAAAAGCGTAGAGTTAACTTTCGAACTACCTGATAGTGCAGTAGAATGTTTTTATCAAGAAATTGAGAAGAATACTTCAGCTTCATTAGAATATCAGGTAAGACTTACTGAACGGACCATCTTCATATACGTGACCTTAAGTCTTAAAGACCGACAATTTGTAACAAGAATTTCTGATAATTTTCCTCTATTTTAAGTATAACCTAGAGATCGTACAAACAAGACCAAATCGTAGCGGCCTTGTATATAAATCAAAATAAAGCATTACTTAAAGTAACATTAACTATCCAGGTAATTACTGGTGGGCAGTATGATGTTGATGTTAAAGTAGAAGGTCCTAATAAGCAGATCATATATCAACAACAGAAAATGCAATATGATTCTCATCAGTTTACAGCTCAATACACAGGTATTTTCTTTGTTTATAAGGCTTTATACAATATAAGACTTGTATTCCTGAACATATATTAATTTGTGACATATCAATGTTCCAGGTGTTTATAAAGTTTGCTTCAGCAATGAATTCAGTACTTTCTCACATAAACTAGTGTATATGGAACTAAATGTTGGACCTGAACAACCACTACCAGGAGTTGGGGACCATGCTACAGTACTCACACAGGTAAATTAGTGCTGATAACTTAAGAGTGTAAGTTGTAATAGAGATGGAATAGATAATGTTAAATATTGCACTAGTTAATGAATAATATTTTCTTATAATTATTTTTTTTACTGCTATTATAAAGAAGGAACATTTATCACAAAACTTTATTTTCTATTTGTAATCAATAAAGCTTTATTACTTTTACAGCTGGAAACTTCTGCAGAAGAAATTCATTCCGCACTAAACAGGATAATTGATCATCAAACTCACCACAGATTGAGAGAGGCTCAAAGTCGCAAGCGGGCGGAAGATCTCAACGAGAGAGTGTTCTGGTGGTCTATGGGAGAGACTTTGGCTATAGTTTGTGTCACTTTTGTACAAGTCATGGTTCTCAAAAACTTCTTCAGCGACCGACCAACTTTATACAATAGGATGTAATAGTAAAAGTTTAACAGCCTTACAAATAAATTTGGTATTAACTTAGAAATAAACTTAGTAAAAGCAAAATTTGTATATTTACTTATACACAGTTTATTCCTAAGTTTAACTTTATACTGTGTTTATTTGTAAGGCTGTAATAGTTTATTTATTAATATATTTTATGGGTTAAATTATTTGTTTTATTTAGGTTTGAATATTGACACAAAAATGCTTTACTACTACTTCATGTTTTCTAATCTATTTCTGAATCTTGTTTATACTATATTTTAGTAATAATCTAATAACTTTCTGTGTTTGTTTTCCCTTAAAATGAATGTATAGATTACTTGAACTTTTATGCAATAAAACAAAGATTGTGAAATTTCAATGTGATCTTGGCATATTTTGATTTGATACAAATCATGCTTACAGGACAGATAAAGAGAGCAATGTAAACTTTATGTAATTTAGTTGGTTTAAAAATAATACTTTGTTAATGTGGATCAATTATTAATTGCTGGAAAGAGAAATAGGATGTAATGAATATTGAAACAGAATAAGGATGCAATAGAGAACGGAAATTAAACCTCCGGCCTCCTGGTCTAAATACCAATCAAAATAATAAAAGTAAATATAAATTTTTGTAATTTCAATATGCCAGTACAAAATAATGTAATGCATTGTAAAGTATCATTAAATATATTATTGTAAATCATTTTACAGTGAATATACCAAATAAACTAAAATTATTTTCTTCAACTAAGAACTTTTTATCTAAGTATTGCTTCTTAAAACTGATATTCACGACCATACTTAATCATGTTTAAAAGAGAGAGGAAGTGAATTACAAACATATTCACCTAAGGGACATTTATATCAGCCTGAATATACTAAAAGTGAATGTCATTTAATTAGTGATAAAATTACTAAAACTTGTTAGACTACTACCATTTAGAGTAACCTGAAGTTGATTACCTTTCTGGTAACTTTTAACTTTATGAATTCCCAATACAAATATGTATAGCCTGACTATAAACATGAAAATCATCACCATTATATGCAAAAATGTGGAACTAATCTTTCCACATATTAGAATATGATGGTACATAAGTTTTAAGTGGTTTGAAGCACTCTTAAGACAGTGTTTAAATTATTGATCAGTGTATAATTGAAGCAGTTAACCATTTACTTCATTTAATATCTCGGCACTCTTTTGCTTAAAATGTCAGAAACATATTTGGAGATTTGTCCTTTAAGAAGAGAAACATTTTTCTTTTATTAATTTATCTGTGATGCTATGGCAAATGAGCTAGGGGTACATCCTTTCACTCTTTTAGGTCATAAGGTGAGGACAGATAAACCTCATATTTCATGAGTTAAATAGCATTATTATGTTCGTAATGTAAGGTTAATCTACTTGTGAATAAAACAATTATAGTTTTTTATAAGTATTATTTGAAATACAATCATTGATTAGGGATATATTAATAATTACATATTCAACAAATTAAATCTAACCAGTAAAATCTTATTTTACTACAATTGTCATTTGTTAAATATCTTTATCAGTAACTGTATGTTGAATAAGAATATATTTAATACATAATAAAATTTCAGAAAAATAGATTAAGTCATTAGTTTAAAATAGTACTAACAGAGCAAACACTCCATTGACAAGCGCACAAGGATATGCTATGAGAGGCCTCTGTTCTGTGTCTCCAGACATTGTAACAAATAGTCTACTTGCTGAAAGAGCAGACCATATGACAGCAACAGCGGATAGACTTAAACCAACAGTTCCTTCCAGAGATATAAATATTCCCAAAGTGGCAAGTACAACCATCGGCAACATACAGTATCCTAGAACACTTGCAACACTTAAAACAGTAAAAACCCCTTCTGTACGACTCATAAGTGACAACAAACAATACATCAGAATAACTGACATTACAGAGAGCCCATAAACATAACCAAAATGTGCCTTATTGCCCGAAAGGAAAAGACAAACAGCCAAAGCTAAACAAAATGCAATAGGACCTGCAATGTCAGTATCTCTGAGTAAGAAGTTTGCATCATCTGCTTTAGATTGGCCATGGAATGGATTAAGTACTGCTAATGTTTTTTCTAATATCCTATCAGGGTATATTTCCAGCTCATCTAGTAGTGGTGGTTCATCAAATTCTGTAATTGTTGCATTTGCTTCTCTTGGAATAGCCGCAGGGGTAAAAATGTTAGGATGATAACCTTGATTATTATTAGGGGGTACTAATGGGACTTGAGCTTGGTCATATGCGAAACTCCTCTCTGGTAAAAATGTTTGAAAATCTGAAATTAATAATTAGGTTAACAATTACATTTTGATAAGAATGTAACAAAAAGAACATGTACTTACCTAAGGTTTGTGAGGAATCTGCAAAATTATTTGCGGTACTATCAAAAGTATAATTTTGGCTATTATCAGGTGGTAACCAAGCATATTCATTTTGATTGGCATAACCAGCCATTATTAAGTCTACGATTTGTCAAATCCTAAGTTATCAAAGTTTGTCGAAATTTTGCGCAGCCTCTTAGTAAGTTTTCTGATATACGGTATAACTAAAAAATTTAAAATTAAACAACAGTGCAAAATTGTTATTATCGATTACACAGAAAACGAAGAGGATGAGAGATACAGAACATCTTTTAGTTTCGTTTGGTTTCGTTGTCAAAATAAACGTCACAATTTCAACAGATTAAATCTGTCACTTCCTAAAAATCGTTATTTGGCATAACGGTTGCCTGGCAAACGCTGAAAGCCAACGTTGTTTTATGGCCTTTTCAACTATTATTAACTTATAAGTCACATTTTATGTAGTTTGATGATTATCTTACTCTAGCAAAACTTGTAAATCGCCAGACTTTTACAACATTTTTTTCTAGCTGTTAAATCAAGATTGTATCGGTCAAAAATACTAATATTATATTGCTATATAGTGATTTATATTCTATGTGATGTGACATATTCAGCTATTGGTTGCATTTTTGACATTTATTACTACAACTACGTTGATTGATATTATCTGTTACAAATTGTATTATTTATTTAGATTTTGACTTTTGTTAAAATAGAATTCAATGAGCAGGTGCATAGGGATAACTACTTAATTTACAAATTTCTGTTCTAACTTGATTCTAATATGGATTAAAATCGTGTCGTTAGTAACTCGCCATCTTATAATCGAAATGTAAGGAGGAGGTTTCATTTCAGTTTTCTTTCGATACAGCATTGGTGTATACCAGTGCCCTACATTCTTGTACTTTAGCTCAAATGGAAGAAAGTTGTGTTCTCGTATCGTTCCTCTTTAAAGGCGTGACTTAATGTTTCATTTGTAATGGAATGTGTTCCGACTTTATGCCGGATTTGCATTAATTAAAAACTCTTGTTATGTATACTATAGTTGAGATTGTTCTAAGCGTGGGAGTGATAATTACTCTCATCACCGCTCTTTCAGCATGCGTTTGTGGATGCAAGAATTCCAATCAAAAGTAAGTGCATATAGTTTACATTTTAATATTAGCAAAGTATTATTACTATACTTAAAATAAGATGCTTATTTTTAAAATCACATTAAAAAGGTTTTATTTAGTTGCAAAAATGCCTTCGTTTTTTTTTGTCGTACCTAAATAAAAATATTAATTGATTTAGATGTTTTTATGTAAAATGTAATCAATTAATATTCTTCACTTGTATCTAACAATGAATCATTCAATTATTATTTGTGAGCCATCATTGTGCATCATAAACTAAGGAAATCTATGGAAAGTGCAATAATTTTAAACAAAATTAAATCTTTATAAGGTATTGTTAACTTTGATTTGGCATAGCTTTATTTTTTTATTCTATATTTATTATTAACGACTATTCCTTATATTTCTTTTATTGAGACTATTCTTATTTGGATTAAAATCTTTGACATTTTAAGTTTAATCTAATAAGAACATAATCATAAAAAAACAATTTACATGTACAATTTTACAACACTTTGAATGGATGTATGGATGCTTGTAACAAAATAACTGAATAAACTGAACAACTGAATAAATATGGATGAATTTAAAACAGAAATAGATTATTAGAGCCAAAGTCTAATTTTTTCTTCCTTACATGGATGTAGTCATGTGCAACTTCATTGTAATATGAAGTACATGTGAAATGAAGTGTTTGTTATGTTAATGCAATGTTATATTTAACAGAAGTGAGTTGGTTGGTACCGCAGGTGTGGTCAAAATCCACATAGATGAGGAGGTACCGTCTCCAACGCCAACCACTCCGGCTTCCATCAAGCGGTTTGTTTAGTTAGCATGCCCTACATATTGTCTATACGCTAACATAGACTTAACAAACCTTTAACTTATGAATGAAGCTTGTTTTACAAATATATGTCTATTAGTTTTTTTATTCATAAATTTAATCCATATGGGTTTGTAGCGGTTTTATGTATTATGTCTGTGATGAATAGCCTTGAAGATCTAAACATAACATTTTAATATTCCTGCAAATTCTGGTAAGGGTTGATTTAATTGTGTAGTGTATTATATCATTTAGGGTATGTGATTTTTATTTATTAACATATTCTAGTCAACCAATGAAATATACCAAATCCAGTTATATTAATTTAAGATTTGCAGCATTTTTCTAAAGAAAGCCATGCTTAAAATTTTGACATTGTCATTTTTGAGAACATTTTATAGTGTATGGATGATTAATGTAATATCCTTTTTTTAATACATTCTTACAAAACCCATCATGCCCGAAGCATTGTTATCAAATGCTATTTGTCCTCCTTGCTAAAGCACCCTGCTCAAATAGATTCTTTTGACATTGCGAAAAAGACTTGCATTTTAAATGGTTTTACCACATTTCTATTTTAAAATATATAATATTATTATTAACACTAAAACACATAAACTATGCTACAATGTGATAATTCAATACAATACTACATGAACATTATCTTTCTTATGTAACAAATGATAATATTTTCAGCTATTGTGCATTATGGTGATTATTTTAATTGTTATATTTTATTTGATATTGTGATAAGCTATGGTTAATACTTATACAAAATATAATCAACTCTAATATATGTTTAATCCGTTTTCTATGTCGGTCTGTTATGTTAGGGCTCATAGTCTCATTTCAAACCTATAGAAACATTACAATTCAACATTAATGCAATCTGTGTAAATGCCACAAGTAGTAGTGATTTGTGTGATCTCATCGAAATAATTAGTTCCTACTATCTAATACACATACAAGTTCCCACAATATTTACAAAAACAATCTATTTTTATTAAGTCATTGTGTTTTTATACCTATTGCAATTAACACAAGATAATTAGAGTTTGTGGTGATATCTGTTTGCATTTTATGTCACATTGTGGAAGGGTATTTAAAATGCAGATTGAAAAATGTTATTACAGTTGCAAAGAAGCAATAAATATTACCTAGTGCCACTAAAGGTTACCTTACAAATTATATTAATTTCTTATTGTAAGAAATAGAAAAAAGTATTCAATATTCTATGTATAATACAAGTGTTAGTAATTTTTATGCCATTATTATTATAATAAAAAAGATTTTCAAACTGTTATTTAATCAACTGTTAGTCAATGCGCCTTTTTTTTCATTTTTATGAAGCTGTTGTGGCTTTTACTAACATAGACCATACTAATTGTTTATTTAGTTTTGTTTAACTCAGTTGTTGAGTGTCTTTAGGAATAAGAAATAATCGCTTTGCATGTAGAGATATGATTCATTAAAGAAATGAGAACTTATTTTGGGCTGTTAACCTTTACTGTAAAGTATTACAGGTCTAATTAGTAACCAATAGATCTTTATAAATGTTTCAAGCCATCATCATTTTGAGATCTCCAAGGTTTATGTATGTTTTATACCTTAATGACTTTTTCCATTACTTAAGTAATGTAGCAACATTTAATTATCGTGTACTACATAGAATAGAGACATCTCTAGAATTGTTACATATATAGATGTTGTGGTAATTGTAACTTTCGCTTATTGATTTAATTTGCAGTTTCGGAATGAGATTTAAAGTCAGAATATAACTGATTTCCAATAATCCGTTAATTAATATTCCAATAATAATGTTATCATTATCGTTGTAGTTTATATTCAGGCAAACATAATAAACATATAACATATTTATGTTTACTATGTTATCATATTTTTCGTTTAAAAAGTATGGTAATATTTTTGTAGAAAACATTGATCTAAGTACCTACTCTTAGTTGATGAAACGGTATTGAAAAGTTTATTAGATTTTTTTTGTCAAAATGTTCAATGTGTATAGCAATAGCAGCTACATTGACCTTAATTACTGTCTTAATTGTTCAGTCGACAAATATAGCTTAAATATTTTAATTGGTATATTAATATTGTTTGTTACGCAGAGCATCTACACAGAACTCTCAGCGCAGCTTGCCGGAAATCCCGCACCCTGTGGGCAGACACGACAGTGGTGATACGGCTTCAGAAATATACGCCACTGTTAATTTAGATGAAGGTACATTCCAGTTTTAAATGCGTTAAGGTTTTGCGTGATTTTTTGTGTGATGCTCTTAAGATGAAGAACTTTAATATTAGGCGATCTTCTGTCCTTCTAAATACATCGGCAAAACCAGAATTAGCTTCAAAAGTTTTTGAGACTAGCAGTCCTTTCACTAATAAGTGAGTTAATTTTCATTAATTGTTATATCTTGTTTCTGACGTTCCCATCACTATTGGGATCTACGATGATACGTTACTTTAAACTATTTGTATGTACCAAATGTCTTTTACCTATTTATTTACCCATACAAACGAATGGAAATATTAAAATTCGGTATCAATAATATTTTTTTCTACGTCATTCCCGACAACTTTAAAATAGAACTCGTGTAAAAGAATGCAGTTTGCAAAATGTCCTTCGAATTGTTTTTGCCTGCGATAAATCAATGCTACCGGATTAGTAATGCTAATCTTCGAATCTAATCGTGCCTCTCGATATAATCAATGAATCGTATTCCACTTGTAAAGCGCCGCTACCAGGAATCGATAATCGTTTTTAATTAACGAGAAGTGATAGCACGTGACTTGTGATCCGCAGGAAGTAAGCCCGCCCCGACAGCATCCACCAGCAGAGACCATCCGTACGAACACGCGTATGCAAAACTGCAGAATGAGAACCACAATATGTGAGTATAGCAATGCAGACAAAATTAACTTAATTATGAACTAACTAGCTTTTCCCGTGTGGCTTTATCCGAATGTAATTATAACTATATATTTATTTTATTGTTTACATTTGTAAATCTATCAATAGCAAGTGTCGAAATGACATGACATGACAAACCTTAGTAATCTTCCTTTCTTGATGTTGGCAGCAATTTACGGTCTCTTTCCCACCTTAGGGTTTTTATCCAAAATATTTACCCCCTAAGTTTAATGACTTGAAAATAAATAGCCTAAAGCGTGACGTAAGTGTAGGCCTTTTTATTAAAATAAGTATTTTTCAAAAGTAACCTGTAATTGCTGACATCTTAGGCAACAAAGAAGTGTGCATTAATGCTTTATTATAATAGTATAGAGTATAGATAGATAGATAACTAGTCGATTAATAGACAACTCTCCAGTCAAGATAAATTACAGGAAGAAACATACATACCTCCAATAAGAAAGTCTTTTGTCGCTCAAACCTGTGCATTATTTGTAATTAACATTTTCTCTTACAAGCTTACTGGGAATCAAACCGCCGACCGTCACTTTGTAAGTCACATTAAAATTAGGATTTCGCATTATTGAGTGAAAAATTAACTTAACTACTTTATGAGATGGAAAAAGCTATACAGAGCACATTGCTTTCGAAGTTACGAAATTCTAATATGGAGAAATAATTTATTGCATTTACAATACATTTTGTTCTGATTATACTTTTTAAAGAATATAGACAGTAAATAGTGCAAGAAAATTAATTTCAGAGCAATGTTCAGTCCCATTTGATATATTACTTTTTAAGGCTGAGAGTACCTATATACCGTATTAAGGAAAAATTACGTTGGCTTCGCTAATATCTTTACGAACTATTCTTTATAATATTGTGAAATAAAATTTATTCTTAGCACAATAATTATCGTAAATAATATCTCTTGTAATCGTAAATAAAATTAAGTGCTCTGTCTCAAGGAGACATCAAACAGTTTATTGCTTATAATAAACAAGATGACATATTTGTTGTCCCCGGCATTGAGTACATAGTATAAACAATGTGCATTCCAATGCCATGCATGTTTTAGTATGTATAAACTAGCTGTCGCTCACGGCTCCGTGCTCGTGGAATTTAAAAACAAATGTTAGTAGCCTATGTGTTCTTCTAGAGTATCCTCTACATCTATACCAAATTTCATCGGTCCTTTCAGCCGTTTAGGCTACAAACTCTAACCAACATCCATCCATCCATCTAAACTTTCGCATTTGTAATATTAGTATGATTAGTATGAAGTATGATTGTTATGGGGAATATGAAATGTAAACAACATCAAAATAATGTCGTAGCTCAAAATTGGTAAGTAAGTTAGTAAAATTATCGCAAGAATATTTTCCATAAATTTAATTCCTGTAACGACTTATTCATATGAAATTCTAAGAATGATTAGCGTTCGAATTACGTGTTTTTGATATCAGGGCGAGGAATTGATGAAAAATAATTCTTTAAAACTCAATATGAAAAATATAACACCAAAGTTAAATCTGCTAAAACGTGTTGTTATTTGGGAATTGAATAGATCGAGTCTAGACATAGTTGTTATATGCTAATCAAATTGACTTTGTAAATGGAAGGACCTTTATTTCAATTCGGGTCTAAATTAAATGTCACGCAGTCTGGTTGTTTTTTATACGCACGGCTAAATAAATATTTTGATTACTGCTACATGAGGTGTAATACTTAGGATGTTTTATTTCATTACTATGTCTCGATTTTATAAGAATGAAGGTCTATAAACTTAGGTAACACCTAAGAAAATATCATGTTGCTATCTAGTAAAAATGTTATCCTGTGTACAGCACGGTGGATATTACGCCGGATCAAGAGTCTGAAAGAGAAATACAGATAGACGAGCGAGAAGCGTCCCAGCCTGGCCCAGGTTTGTTTTTGTTTTATAATTCATGATACTAAAGTTACATATATGTACTAGTGATTAGTAGATTTTAAATTCGGTAACACTACAAATGTTTGGCGGCAAACCGTCATACACGTTGATAATGATCAAACCTATGTCACTGATTATCTTTTTTCAGATGTTATTGATGGTGGTCACTTCGCTTTCAATGAAATTTAACATTCGCTTTTTAGTTTGTCACTTAAGAAATTGTGTCTGTGTAAAGAAGTTTACTTTAAGTGTATTTAAACATTTGTTTAGAATCGGTAGTGATATCGGCGTCGGTAGCAATCAGCGGACAGTTACCGTCTAGTCAGGAGCTGCCCTACATCACTCCGCCGTCGCCGCGCCCCCCGCCCCCCGCACTGCCGCCCGCGCTGCCCCTCGCCCCGCCCCCCGCAGACAACACGCTGCACTTTAGCGGAGACTCCACAGACTCCGCCAGTGAGTACCGCACTACACCAAATGTTGCGAACTATCGTATTAAATGTTTTGGCTATACACAAACTGCACATTTATCGCTAAAACTCTTAGATTCCAGAATATTTCAAGTAAAACACTTCTCACATAACAATGTTATAGCAACTCATTTAAATTTATCTTTTCTCCAAAAAAAAAAAAGAATATGTTAATGACCGCAATATATTGAATTTGACCTCCCTCTATAAGGGTTAAGACCCTTCAATTTGCATATAAGGGTTAAGCACTTAAATGCATGATGATACATATGTACATCAGTCTTCTCTTACATACCCAATGGACTATTTAAAAAAAAAAATCTTAATTTTTACTTCACTACCAGTTTTAATTTAGAGTATTTAAAAAGAAAAAATCATGGATTTAAGGGTTAACATTGGCATTAATTTAGAACGAAATGTTCTTTTCCGTGTTTAATTTAATTTTATACAAAAAAAGTTCAATATACTTAATGTTAATTGTGTATTCACAGAGGGCTACACAAGTATCTCAGTGCGGGAGCCGCTCAGCAACATCCGTGCGCAGGGAGTGAAGCACTCCGCGCAGCCGCACTACGCCACCGTCTCTGATGACTCCGGTATGTATATTATTATGCCATAAATAAATAATTTGTAATCTTAGTTAAATATAGTTTTATACTTACTTTGCCTACATAAATGTTGCTTTTCAAATATCTTACTCAAACTGATAAAACTAATTGATAATTTTAAAAATGAGTTGTAAGATAGTAGTATTTGTTTCCAGACGAGATGTACGCGGCGATAGAGGAGGCCAGCGTGGGCGAGGGCGAAGGCTCCGACACGTACGCGCAGATCGCGCCCGAGCCGCGCCGCCGCGACCCCGCACCCGCTGCCCCCGCCCCCGCCGCCGCCGCAGCACCCGGCCCCGCCACCGCCCCAGCCGCACCCCCGCTGTCTGAACTCGCCACTAGGTATATTAGTTACCATATACCAAATTTTAATAACAATACATTAATCATTATACTAGCTTTCGCCCGCGACGCCGTCCTCGTGGAATTAAAAAATAACAAACGTGAGTAGCCTATGCGTTTCTCCAGACTATTCGCTACATCTGTGCCAAATTTAATTAAAATCTGTTCAGCCGTTCGTACAAAGCTAAAATACATCCATTAAAATTTTCGTATTTATAAAATAAGTATGATCCAAACTATAATGTAGGATGCATTGATTAGTTATAAGATAAAGCAACCTTTTCTGCAAAAAAATAAAGCAGGAGATTCCTGCTGTTATCCTCCTGCTGCAACAGGAAAAAAAAACTAGTGAAGAAATAATTAAATTTTCTTGTACCTTTTTTCAATGTTTTAAAATAACTCATTAATTGTAATGTATATTTCTTTTTTGTTTTCTTTGTGTAGACATTAAAAGAATTGTAATGAAGTATTGGGGAAGGAATTGGCTCCTGTGACACAGGGCAACCTACTACAGGAGCCAAGACTTTCATGAAATGTATGCAAAAGAGACAATAAATGAATTATTATTATTATTATTAATAAATCGAAATTCCTTTTGTATACCGATGTTTGTGCCGAAATTGACACTACTTTTTAAATTATGTGTACATTTATTATAGTGTAATACTTTTGTTTTACAGAAGGAGTGCCCCTCCGGAAATTGGTGCATCAACATCACAAGCGACGCACTCCAGACAAGGTTAATGTTTTGCTTTAGAATACTATCAGAAATCAATAATAATTGGTGTAATAACGTTTTATTTATGTACAGCATCTTCGTCGTCGTGTTCCAACTCTACTGGCGCGCTCGGCTCGCCCAAGCCGGAGAAACGCGTCGCCAACTCCCCCCTGCCGCCCCCACCACTCACCACACACGCTGCACACGCAGCACACGGAACACACGTAGCACACGTAGCACATGTTACACACGGAACACATGCCCCGCTGACGCAGTCGCAACGACACAATCGCATATCTAGTACAGGTCAGTACAAAGTATATATCCCTAAGATTTCATAAAGTTTTAAATTATATTTCTGACCTAGTAAATCTATTTATGATATAGACTACGAGTGACGATCGATGGCCGATATATATAACATATAAAATATTTCAGGAGACCTCCACTTCAATCACGATAAGCTCCGAAGGAGCCTCAACGAGAAACACCAACGCAACAACAGCTGCGTCAGCTCCTCGGACTTCTACGGCTGCAACTACCCCGTGGAGAAGCACAGGTTCAGCTCCGGAGACCTCGTGCGGCCCCTCGTCGCCACGGAACTACATTTCGACATCGACCACCAGCCGCCGCCCGCCGACAACCTCTACAACTCCATCGACGGCCCCGCACCCAGCGACTACTCCTCCGCAGACGCCAACATCAGCATCGACTCCGACCACCGCGTCACCGAGAGCCCCTCGCGCAACCTCGACGATATGTACGCTAAAGTCAACAAGAAAGGAAAAACGAAGCCCGAAGATACATCAAAAAAACTTAACGAATTCTCCAAAGAAACCGAAACCGCCCTCAAATTCCGCGGCGACGATCCGGGGTACGAAACTATAGACCGCAAGAAATCAAACAACCACGGTTACGAAACTATCACGCACAAGGAACGCAATAACTCACAAAACCAGGACCCCGGATACGAGACTGTTAAAGATGTCAACAAAACCCTTTCTACATTCACCAACAACAATCTGCTAAAGCTGAATCATTTAAACGATAGCGGACCTAATAGCATTATAAGCAGTGACCCTGGATACGAACACATCACGAAGCCTGACAACAGCGCCTCAGACTCCGACCCTAATTACGAAGTCCTAAGGAACCAGCCTCCCACACCGCCGTACGCCACCATCGCACCGGACTACAAGGTGCAGCCGACATACTCCACAGTGCACAAGAGAACAGGCAAATACAATAATTGGCCTGCGAACAATAACGACGAGGGAGCGCAAGAACCCAACTACGAATCCATGTCGAATGACCCCTTCTATACCACCGGCAGCGAGTCCGACCCCAACTATGAATCCGTTCGACCTAAAGATCCAAACTACGAGAGCGTTAACGCTCAGGACCCAAATTATGAATCTTTACGGTGTAAAGACCCTAAATATGAATCGGTGCGATCGAAAGACTCAAAGTACGATTCTGTGAGGTCCAAAAAGGATCCAAACTACGAAAGTGTCAAGTATTTTGAATTATCGCAGAAGGAACCGCCGTATGAGAAAGTGAATAATGACGCCGGCACGAATTCCGTGGAGAGATCGGACTCAGCGGCTGGATATGAGAAGATCAACGTGCCCGCAAACAGGGACCCTAAAAACAGTATTAACAGCGGTGCCGACGGCATCGTCAGCGACTACTTCCAAGTTTAAGTCCTGATTTATTTATTTCAGTGTTATTTATGAAAAAGTAGTCAATTTAATTTATGATATTATTTTGTAAGATATCCGAAGAGTTGGTCGGAGATTTTAAAACGGTTGCTTTAGCACACCCATAAAGTAAAATTTTAAATTGTTTACCCAAAAGAATGAACTACAGCACGGCCTAAGAAAACTGCAAATAATTTTATTAAAATATGGTAAGCATTTTATAGGTCAGTTCAATTTTTAGCAGTTAATTTGCAGCATCCGACCTGACTCAAGAGCCTATTTTACATTTAGTAAGACCCACGCCCGGCACTTTAAGTTTGCGTGCTTAATTTATTTATTTTATCAGGTAAATTTTCGTTAAATAATACCAAGGAGAGAGATATAACTTTCTCAGGTAGCTGTGATATAAATATTAAATACAGACCTTATTTTTATAAATATAAGTTTATTTTTAGTGCGAGCATTATAAATATTTGTGGAATTTTATTTTCGCGTTTGTAATTAACTTATTTGTTATTTGTAATCTCCGTTTATGACCTGTACATGTCACTTTTAAAATTATTTTAATACTGGTTGTATGAACTTTAACGTGTATATACTCTTGTAGTGTAGATGTACAATGTAAACATAGCGGAACATATTTTTAATGATATTATACCGGAATATACCGCAGGGGACACTGAATAACATAATTCTAAGAATTATTTGTTTTTATAAATAATTACAATTAAGGCGTTAACAAATACACATATAAATCATGCATTTAAGCATCATGTTTCAAATTCCAATTTAAAAAATAACAATACAAGACTGACATCAAACTATTTGCTGCATTTATTCCCAAAAAATGTCTGTTTTTTGATATGCGGAAAATATGCTTCAGTTTTCATAGCATTTTTTTTTATCAATATTTGTATATTTAATGTGTATTTATTAACGTCTTTGTAACTCTTAAACAATTTGAAACTAGTTTTCTAAATGTAAGACTGCATGGTGTTCCCTAATGAGTTAGGTTTACCTGAACATACTGAGCTTTTTTATTCATTAATAGTCGTAATGTACGATGTTCTAATTTTGTCATAAAACTATCGACGAGACTATCATAATCTAAGGCTACTTATTGTTGCTTTTTAATATTTTATTTGTTATGTAATCGCTTAAGCGTTATTTTCTATTGGAAAAGTTGCTGTATCGCCACGTTTTGTACTGTGTATTTGGCCTTAAATTACAATCAGTATTTTTTGTTAATTTTAAATTTGTACAATGTTGTACGATGCCACTGGCGCAATATTTTGAAATTTACATGTATTTCTTATTTATATGCAAAAACTTATAGACACTAAGTGCCCACTGAGATCTAGATTTTTTTTAATATTGAAATTTCCATCATCATCCACTTGCCCTTATCCCTTACAGAGGGTCGGCACAGTATGTGCTGCTCTTCCATACATCTCTATCAGCCGTCATATCTGAATCCAATGCTACAGCACATACTGAAATAATGTTTTGTCTTTTGGATATTGAAATTTCCATTAATTAAAAACGCATTATATCGTTCTTTTTATAAGAAAATCTATCGCAATAGCTGCTACATTGTCGTTGGACTGAATTTTCAAGTAACAATAATCATAGTTTGTAGACAGACATTTTACCCATTATGATATGGTACTGCACAAATAGGTCGCAATTTGTTTATGTACAGTAGTTATTATTTTCATTATTTTACTCTTAACTTGAACATATGATATACTATGGTAATTCAATTCTTTTGTATCTTTTCAATTTTTCTTATTTAAATGTAGAAAATGCGACTTACAAAATAGTACCTGAATTCAGTTATAAAAATTATGAAACCTTAAAGGTTGTAGGCGCAATATTAAACATTAGTTTTATTTATGACCTTACACAATGTGTACTTAGTAAACAATATTTTGATTTAGTATGATTATTTGTATTACCAACTTTTCTTTTGATATAACTTAGCCATGAGGGAATGAATGTTTTTGTATCAGTAAGCCAAAACAATTGAATTGGAACACTGTAAATAACATAAAAGTAGATTATGACAAAATGTTTGTATTCGTAAATGATTAGAAAACCTAGTTCTTGTATGGTGCTGTTTATAATGTAGTTGTAAAACTTTACATTGAAATGTAAGTGATATAATTGAACACCACAACTACTGTAAATAATTGTCATCACCGCCTATATTGTGTTATGTAACATGTAATGTGTCCCATAGAATACTTAATATAAAATCTGTAATCATCCCAAAACTACAACCATTCCAATTTTTTATAATCCAAACCAGTTTTACTAAAGGAATAAAGTACATATGCCATTTTTATTTTTTTCTTTATGTTTCAAGTGACAATATCTATTTAATTTTGCGTTAAGATAAATTCAACACAAAGGAAGGTTTATATAAAATTGTTTAAGGAATATGTTAACAAATAAAGTAGAGGTATTTCAGGCCTTATATTTAAATATTTCGGCACCATAAGTGGCATGGTGGTCACGTTTTACAAAAATATAGCTTACTAGCTTTCGCCCGCGACTCCGTCCGCGTGGTATTAAAAAAAACAAAAGTAAGTAGCCTATGTGTTCTTCCATATTCTGCTCTACATTTATGCCAAATTTCATACAGATCCGTTCAGTCGTTTAGGCTACAAACTCTTAACAAACATCCATCCATCTAAACTTTTGCATTTATAATATTAGTTAGATAATGAAAAAAATAATTAATGCAAAAATAATTTAATAGCAGTTAATGTTGCAAGATACAGAAAACTATTAAAAATATCAACATCACAATACAATATTTTTTAAACGTAATTAATATAATACAACATCAATGTTGCGAAATTTTGATTTTAACTGTTTTTCATAATCAGTGTTAATAATTCTAGGGCACTGGTACAGAGCTAAAAACTTAAGATTCTTATAATATTCAGATATAATATCAACAATTACAGGTGAAATGTTTCCAATTCTAGATAAACTTAAACTTTCCAATGTTTTTAAATTAGGACTGCCTAATGTATGGAGCAAAACAAATTCAGAAAAATTAGTGTTATTCCAAATCTGTAAATGTTGAACCTTTTGCAAATTTACCAAAGATATTAAACCTTTGTCTGTGAGATTTTCACATCTTATTATTGCTAAATCTTTTAACATAGAACATTGTGATAATAATTGCATGCTATGGTCATCTATAGAATCTCCACCGTAAATATGTAATGTAACTAATGTTCTCTGCTTAGTTATAATTAATTCTTTAATGAATTCTAAATTTAAATTTTTAATCTTTTCAATAAAAATATGGTTTAAATATGGACAATGTAATAATGTATTACAGTTCACTGGGGAAATACCAAAATCTGATAAAGCCAAGAAATTAAGATGTTGAAAATTATCATAGTTAATTACTAAATTGTCATTTGTCAACAAGAGAGAGTTCTTCAAATTAATTTTCTTTAAATTAGGCCATCTATTTATGTAACTTTCAAATTCTTTCCCTAATCGGCACATTACTAGCTCTATAGATGTAAGATTACTGCATTGTTCCAAAATTGATTTAATTTCTTGATAACTATATAAGTACTGTAGCTTTAAGTTGGATATTAACCGCCCATGACTATGAATAATCTCCAAATTTTTTTCACTTACTTCACTTTGTCCTGGCTTTCCAGAGTAAACAATAACAAATCTCCTCCATAGTGTAGTATCGCGAGCTATTTTCCTCCAGTGCTTGCAAACATTCTCACAGGTCAACAATGTTTCAAGTGGTAGAAACTGGAAGACTGCAAGAAGTAACTCATCCGGCAACACTCCGAACCCTTCGGATCTATCATCCGTAGCTGTCATTCTGATGACTTGAAAATAATATTTAAACCTAACACTTGTTTGTGTCGAGAAGAGAAAAGTAAGGAAGACAATCAATATAATTTTAAATGTTACCTTTGTTTTATTAATGAAACGTCCGTTGATTGTAGAAGCGACGATGGATTTAAATAAATATTAACAGAGCTTCATCATGTGTTCTATGTCCACTGAACTCTATAAATATAAAATGCGTATAATTACGCGTATTTATATCTAAAGAGATCAGTGACTACGTCGGTTCTTGACATAGGAATAGAATTGCAAATCATTGTAAATACAAACCTATATTTGGTTAAAATAACGTTAATCTAAATACAACATGAATTAAATACAACTGTCATTGTCAGATTGACTGTCAATGTCACATTGTAAACAAAGAGTGTGTAACAATAGCTTTAGAAAGACATGCTACCTGACCCAGTTGTAACAAGTGAAACTAAATTATAATAAATGAATTTTAACCGAAAAGCGGCATAAATCAAATAAGTACAAAAAACTATCGGTTATAGCCTGTCTTTGATAAAGAGAAAGCTCAATAAAATCATGCATATCGATGCTAAAAGTTCGATGATTTGTTTACTCCAGTTTACTCTATGATACTAATTCGTTTTGAATTTCTATTTCAACTGTTTAAAATTGCTTTATTCTTATAAGCTTATTAGGCGATTATAAAAGAAATTTGTTACTAAAAATAACCTGTGTTTATAAAAGTTAATTGAATACACACCACCCAAAATTACTTTGAAGAAAGTAATGTCAAAATAGAAGACTAACCTTAAACACCGGTATGGAGACCAAAAACGAAATTTTTTTACAAAGACTTGTAAAAGCAGTGTTATGGAATATTGTGCTGCAAACAGTGCTTGCTACGGGTCTAGTATTCGTTATACAAGTAGATCCTTTACACCCGGTGTCATGGCTCGTTTCAACTTTTCATGATGTACTCAGCTGGAAAATGGGTTTAAATGTTGTCCTTCTTAGTCTGGTGTCATTTTTTCAAGCTTACGTCTATGGGAGTTATTACACAGTGCAACAACCTAAATACTTTACAAGATTCTCAATGTTCTTCAATATGTTTACACTGCAGAATGTAGTTTTTGGCATTTTATACTCTCTTAATGGATATTTTAGCATAAACTTGTACACGTCTTTAGCAGATAGTAAATTTAATACATTGAAAAAAGCTTGTGATAAATATGATGGGCAGTGCCTTTCGGAACAAAGCTTACTTTTACAGTTTGGTGGGATGTGGATGGGATTGTACTATTTTCTTAGTGTCCATATACTTGGCACTACTGTGTTGACGTTTCCACATATTTACCAAGACAAACTCCAACAAATCAAGTTAGTTATAAGCCATATAATTTCTAGTGGATTTAGAAAATCAATTATGCCAGTGATATATTATTGTGTTTTCTATTACCTGTGCGGAAATAAGTCTAGAAATGTGGTTGGTGATGTTTACAGTTTATATCTAGAAGATCCACCCATGGACAACTTTCTTAATTTGCTAATGTCTGGTATTTATATTGGCTTGTGGTTTTATACAAGTTTATTCTTTATATCAGTATTTACAATGAGGACTGTATTCAATATTGTGCTTACTGAGCCCTTGAAATTCCCCATTGAATCTGAAACTGAACTAACATTATGCAATGCCCTTGCTCAGACATCAAAGTTCAATAGATACTTAGCAGCCCTTGATTTGAAAAGATTATCCATGACTGATGCTAGAAGAAGAAATGAAATATTCACACTATCTCAGCCGGGAGGACATCCAAGAAACTGGAACAATTTGCTTGATAAGTGTTTGCGAATAATTAATCAATTTAATAAAGAATTAGACAATATAAATGGAGATGGAAGTAATGGTGAAGTCGAGAGTTCATATAACATTCAAATTAAAAAAAATAATTTATCAGATGTCCCACCTATAAGTTCATCAATGTATTCTTCTCCATTGAGGAACATGGCATATTCTCCAAAGTTATTTGAGTTGAAAGATCACAAACAACAGGCAATGGACAATGCATTTATTACTGTAGTAAAGACAGAATTTAATAATTTCATTCATAAACTCTGCCAAAAGCCAGGGATTAGTTATTTCTTTGGTGAACTTACTGATACAAGACTGAAATTTTTATTGATACAATCTCAACCTGTTATCTGGACTTGTGAAGGATTGGCAACAATAGTAGCTGCTTCATTAAAGGAAGATAAGTATGGTGTAGTTCAAACTGATATCCCGGAGGTTATAACTGCATTAGTGAATTTAAAGCAAAATCTAGACAAATTAACAAAACCAGGACTTGTACCCAAAAAACATTTTGTAAATGATGAATTTGCTTTAAGACTGAGAACAGCTCTTTTGTCTGCTGTGAAGCGAAGTTTATACAGGATAGTAATAACATTTTCAAAGCACATTCATGAGATTCCATTAGAACATGATATCCAGGTGGCTTTGCAACCTTTTTTACTTTGTAAGGAACCCTGATAATTAAGATTTTTTTTTGTTTCCACATGTTTGCTCTTATTTTAATAAATAATTAAGTGCTTATTTTTTGTATTGTAATTCAAATGCTTATCTTATGCTAATGATGTGCCAAAACCAATATTTTTTCTTTTGTGTGTGAATTTAAGGTAGATTATTTTTTACCATTACCATTTTAAACCATTTAGTGCAGAGCAAATGGACTTTTATTATTTTTTGTACCTTTTGTAATACAAGCTGTAAGAAGTTTCATTTAAAAAATCACTATCTTATATTAAAACTTGTACATACTCCTAAATGTTTCCATTTAAAAAGTAAAAAAATGTCACTTTGTAATATAATAGTAGTTAGTATTTAATAAATGTAAATATATTTTATTTTGCATTTTTTTTAACAGATGAGATACTTAAAAATTTATAGGGTGAGATGCGGTTTTTCAGACGAAAACAATTATTTTTCAAGTTAGTCATAAATGGGAAATTGAAAATACAAAGATGCGAATCCAATACAAAATATATTTAAAAACCGTTACCGTGGGGTTAAAATTCAGAAAATTAATACAAAATTGTACTAAGTAGTAACAGTATATTATCCTCAATTTCTATTCTATAACACTATTAAAATAATTCACACAACTAACATTTAATATTCTATTTAATAGATACTGAGATAAAGTCCAACTAAGATAACTCTGCAATCGATTTACTTTATTAGTAAAGTTTGACCAATACAGAATAGATAAAAGGATGTTTTGAACTAACCTAGAATTTGCTGCATTAGTACAAGCCCCTATAGTGTAGTCTTGAGTTGACACAAGTTTTTAATATGGAACTATGTATTATCATTGTCATACAATGACAATTACGAAAAAAAATTGCGTCTGAATGTTTAGGGTTAGTTGTATGGGAGATTTTGCGCAATTTTATTAAACATGTGTAAAGTTTTTTTTTATTTTATAACATATGCAGTTATCACTCCTTATATTTGTAGTTTGAATGTTACAAGAGCGTGTCCTCGTCGCGCAGCTCGCCAGTGAGCAGGCTGCGCTGGCTGGCCGCGCCCAGCAGCGCCGTGCGCTCCGCTGACGACGAGTCGCAGCTCAGAGATGCTGCACAACACATTTATAATCATAATTCCTATAGTTCAATAGTTATAAATCAATCGCATGCTAAGAATGAAAGGTTAGAATGAGTTAAAAAGTGTAAAGCGATAATTTTTTTTTTCTTTTGCAAGTCAAAACCGCGTACACGCTTGATCTCATTTTAAAACAAAATTTTACATAAATAAAAATCACAATAGTCATGAAAAAAATTTCGCATATAACTTACATTGTTAGAGATGTTGTATTGGAGAGAGTGGGTAGAAAGTGACAGGGGAGAGAGAGAGTGAGTGAGAGGAAGAGAGAGAGAGTTCTCCTTGGCGGTACGTTATGTAAAGTGGGTACATACGAAGGGTCGATTACCGTCGGGGCTGGCGTGCGGCGTGGCGGAGGTGGAGGCGGAGGCGGTGCGCTGCGAGCGCGGCTCGGGCGAGGCGAGCGCCGCGCGCACCGACCCGCCCGGAGACTCGGACATCGACGCCTGCAGGCTGTAGCTCTCCCTGACACCACACATTATTTCGACATTATTATTTCAAATGTACACATTTTTAAATGCTTAATAACATAACACACTAGCTGTTTTCCGCGACTTCGTTTATGCAACTTCAAAAGCATACGAACTATGAAAAACAAAAATACGTATCTCTTAGGAACCTGCCATTTGTTTCATCAAATTCCCATAAGACATATGTATAATCGTTGCAGACTTATCGTATAAATACGAAAAACAAAATAAAAGCATCTACCGGAAATTGTAACTATTTCCCGATCAAAACTATTCTATATATTCTTCTAGATTACTCTCTACGCCAAATTGCATCGAGATGCCTTCAGCAGTCTTGACACAAACTAATAAACATAAATCCATCCTTACAAACTTTCATATTTACATAATAAAATTTGAAAAATGTTGCCATTGATAAAAAAGAATTGCCAGATGACAATCGCAATATGCAATAAATAAAAAAATAAATGAGTTTATTAAATAGTGACAGATGAAACTGTTATAAAATAAAATAAGTTCCGACCGTGCCCTCGTCGCAAAAGGTGAGAAGGATGAAACTCTTTATCCTCATCTGTCCTCAGGCGGGGACAGAGCGGGGTGACGGTAGGGAAAATCCGTTAATCACCTGTATCCTGAGGTGGAGGAGGTCTGCGAGATCTCGCTGTCGTAGGAGCTGTCTGCGGGCGCGGCGGGCGGCAGCAGCAGCGGGCTGGTCCACTCCGCGCGCCGCGGGCACGTCTGCACATCTCACATTACCTCACACGATTACTGTCTATTCCTTTAAAATCATACTCAATTTTGCCCGCTATTTCTAAACAGAATTGTAATATATTGTGTCTTATGTAGATTTGAACAAACTTCCATCAGTTAATTTATATTAAATCAGTCCTAAATCTAACGCCGTTTTATTAATACGCATATATTACAACTGGCGACGAGGATGAGAAAAAATAATTTAGTAAACTATGTGTTCTTCCAGACTATGTTCTACATCTGCTATGTGCTACATTTCATCGTGATCCCTTATACCGTTCCGGAGACACAGTAACAAACATCCATCCATCTAAACTTTTTCATCTTACTAATATTATTAATGTGAAAGATTGGATGGATATTTGTTAGAGTTTTCATCCTAAATTGCTAAACGGATCTCGATGAAATTTATCATAGATGTAGAGAGTAGTTTGAAAGAATACATAGGCTACTTACTTTTTTTTTAATTTCACGCGAACGAAGTGGCGGGTCAAAGCTAATTAGGATGTAGTAAAGAAAGTATGATTCAAATGGACTCATTAGGCGAATCGAGAGTACTAAACATGTTAAGCCGACAGTATAAATAAGTTTTGTAATGAAATATTTAATCTGTGTACGTACATCGGGTTTGCTGGCGTGTCTGCTGCGACGGAATTTGAATGTCTTCTTGGAGGGTCCGTGCGCGCGCTGCAGTCGCGGCCGCTCCTCGCCCTCCTCGCACGACGCCTCGCCCTCGCCCTCGCCCTCCCCCTCGCCCGTCGACAACGGTGACAAGGGGGACATTGTTGTCTCGCCTGGACATATTATATTACTTATACTAGCTCTTTAATGATCTAAATCTTTTTTTGGAATCGGCCCACTATTTGTTGAATTATTTCAATACATACAAAAATACTAATAATTCCTCTTAATAATATTAATAAACACGTAGATTAAGATAAAAAAATGACTGTGGCGCTAGTGTGGCGAACGACCGCTATAACGCAATTAAGTAGAATAATGTATGTGAAATATGTATGAAATTTAAAGTCAGTCCTACCAAATTCTTGTAAATTATCAGTGGGGCTGCAAACTTGTCAAACATGTGATGGAAATATCGGATTTTGTTACTTTATAGGACAGTGGCGTCATTTTTGTCATCTGTGCCTCTATTAGATAGTAGTGGGACAAGCCCTTAGTAGTTTTTAATCATCAGATACGTATTTAAGTGTCAAACGTACCTGATGTAAGTTTGAACTCGACGGAGGACACGAAGCGCAGCTTGGTCTGCGTGCCCGCGTACGCCACCGCGCCCGCGGGCTTGGTCTCATTAGCGAAGTAAGCGGTCACCCCTTGAAGTATATTCAAAAATGTTACTATGGCCGAGTTCCAAGGATAATAATAATAATTAGATAATTTAAAGCTAGCACACGTTTGTTGTAATCAAAGACATTTAAGAAATACATAAACTAGACATAGAGAACAATATTTCTCCAACGGTAACTTCTTCGAAAGGTACTATGTTAGTTGTCTAGTTTAGTACGCCACCTCAAATCAAAACTATAATAAGCTCCATCTTATGTTATGAAATAAACATTTAAAAACATGATTTAGTGGCACCTATTGTTAATTCATTAAAATACAATTAATTATATCGATAATGGTTGTGGTAAGCTGACCTATTTGTGAGTGTAAGCTGCCGTTGTTATTGCTGGTGTCGCTGTGGCGGCCGGCCGCAGGACACGGGAACTCGTAGGGCGGCAACTGCTGGCTCGTCGTTGAACTGCTCGATACTGATTCTGTTCAAATTACTATTTAGTCAATTATCTTTCAGTAAACTTGTTAACACGTCTGTTAGGTACATAATCTTTGCTCGTTTTATACATGTTTGTTTAATCTTTGATCAAAGTTACAATAAAATGTAGAACGATATAGAGGTGTTTATGGCAGTGACAAGCTAAAATGAGTGTTAAAGCTATAAACTAAAGTGCATGTTTGTTTGTAAAAAGGCAAGCATCTGTATAATGTTGCGTAGTATAAAAATAATGTTAGCATGAAGACGCGCTAGCATCAGTCATTCACTCAAATGTATTGTGTAGATGTTCATGTTTGGTCAGTTAAGAGTAAATACAAAGTGGTATATCTAATAAACGAGTTTTAAACCAGCATTGCCACCTTGTCGCGGTGGCAAGCGAAAGCGATCCCGTGGCGCCCCACACAATGACCAGGAGGGAACAGAGGGGTTTAGTGGGTATGCCCTATTATGGGGAAAGTCCCACATAACTCTCGTGCCTGCCCCGAGGCACGGAGTATGCGTAAAACATTCCCCTCTGAAAAAAAAAGCATTGCCACCTTACGTTATTAAAAAAATAAGTGGTTTTATTTCCCCGTGTCCCGCAGTGGGTGTGTACCGTGTGCTGTATGTTGCAAGTACTGTGTGTACCTCTCTGCGCGGCGAGCGTGGCGGGGTGGTCCGGAGTGCGCGGCGGGCCGGCGCGCCCCACCAGCATGGAGATGAGCGAGGGCCGGTGCTGCTGCTGCTTGTCGCCGCGCGGGATGGCCTCCGAGGCGCGCTTGCCGCCCGCCGCGCCCAGGCTCTCCGCTATCTGCTCTGCGCTCAACACAAACATGGACAATACACATGCGTGTCGGCAGCATTACTTATAACTAAAGGTTGGGAACTAAGAGTGGATGTGACGATGGATGAGACGCACAGGAAGGGGAAATATCGTTTTCTTCTTTATGTGCGTCCCCTCCTCCGTCGATTAGTTGGCAATGCATCTGCAAATGCAGATGTCTATGGGAAGCAGTCTCTTCGCCATTTTAGCGGATGGCCTCCTGCTCAATTGCCACTTTATGATATAAAAAAAATTCTCTTGACAGTTAAATTTAATCTTTGGTATGTAACTCTGTTATCCAAAAATAAATTAGAAAGGAAATTTTAGTTAGTTAGTTAGTTTAGTTTAGTTAATATTAGTTTTTGTGTTATTTCAATACATAAAAATACAAATCTTTCCTCTTAAAAATACTAGTATAGATGTGATAACTTTGGAGTAAAGAGAAGTACCGAATTTGTAGTGATCGTGTGTATCGCGCATTGTGCGCAGCTCGCGAGCAAGTTCGGCGAGCAGTGCGCCGCGCGCGCGCCCCGCCGGCAGCTTGAGGCCGCGAGCACGCTCGCGCACCACGAACTGCATGTGCCGCTCGTGGTCACCGATAGGTGGTTGAGATAGCTATACAAAACAAAATTAAACAATTATTGGTACGTTAACACTAGGCCAGTACAACTGGTCAGTAGCGCTTAATAACTGGACTGTCAATCAATTGGCACAGTGTGAACGCTAACTGGTGCCAAAGACTCCATACAATCCATGACTGGCGGTTGTGACTGTCCAACTGTACTGACTCTATTTTGACATAGCCAAAAGAAACAATGAAATAGCATAAACAATGAAAAAATAAAAAAAAACTCTATTGGTCCAAATCAATTTTGTGCAAAAGCTATAAGTCAGGAACTCTGTGTTTCAGTTGCAGACCCTTCTGTTAACTGTGTTGCGCTATTTAAAATAAGTTGGTACAGAGACAGAAAGGGGCAGGGGGCAGGCGGCGGGCAATGTGACCTTGTGCACGATGAAGGGCTGCAGCAGCACGTAGAGCGGCGTGCGGTAGGTGACGACGTGCTCCAGGAAGTCCCAGAGGTGGTGCGCGGCCTCGTTGCGGCGGCCCAGCTCGCGCATGGCGCGCGCGATGCGCCCCCACTCGCAGCACAGCTCGCTCGTGAAGCACGCGCAGATCACCTTCAGAGCTGCACCACACAACATACACAATCTAAACTAATCTGTAATCAACAATTTGATTTATTTCAATTGATTTTTGAGTCACTTTTTATTTAAACGAAGAAATTTCACCGCTGTACTTACATATGTGTCGAACTCATAATAAATTAATCTATACGAACAAAATAAAACGTAAACACACACGTTTTTGTTGAAGGATATTAGTAATCACAGCATATTTTTAAATAATTTTAAGAAAATGTCGTACATTTACGTCGTGTTATAGATTACAGACTATATAATTTCACGCTATGTAATTTACGGGGTGAAGAATTTGGACAAAAATGTCGAACATTAAATTTTGAGATCACTTAGATTGCGGAAGAGACTACACGGGAAAAGCTAGTATGGCTTTAAAGTAAAATTTAGCTTTGATACTTATCATATTACCATTTCGTATAGAATAGAGATGATTCGTATGTTTTTGTGTAGACGTATGAACATATGAATTCCAGGATAAAGTCGCGTATACCTAAGAAGGCGATCCTGTAGAGCTGGTTGGAGAGCCTGGTGGTGTTGCGGATGTCGCGGCTGCCGGTGAAGGTGAGCGAGTTGGCGCGTGCGTCGGCCGCGTTGAGCTTGGCGTTGACGGCGGCGAGCTGTCCGGGCGGCGCGGGCGGGCACAGCGCGCTCAGCACCGCCGACACCACGTACGACACGTCCGACTGCCGCAGCGGCGGCACGTCTATGAAACACATCTGCTCGTGGGGTCCGATCCCATCATACGACTACTGTATTTATACCCTAGTCCCGTATGACCCGAGGGTCGGTGGGGCCATGGGTGGTAGTGGGCTGAACTCGTGTATTTATACGTCTAAAATACAAAACAGTACCATTTTTTTTAGTACGGTACGGTCATACCACTATCTGGAGATGGATTCGAATCCCACCATTCGACTAGTGTAATTATACATCTGAGATATACAACAGTACCACTTTTGTACGGTACGGACCTACAGCTCTCTGGTCGTGGGTTCGAATTCCACCATTCGACTAATTTTTTTTTTTATGTATGAATCTTGTGTTCCATCAAGAGTTGACTTCTATCAAGAGTGCGTGTGGAGCCGAAATCGACCAAACCGCGCCTCCGCTATTCGGCCCCTATGACCCGGGGGTCGGTGAGCCCATGGGTGGTGGTGGGCTGTAGTAGTGTATTTATGTATATTTATAGTTCGTTTTAAGTTAATTGCAAGCTATGTATGAGAATGTATAAATAATATTAAACTATAAATACACATTATCTAGTATCGTAAACTATGTTACTGATGTCATAAATACAAAAATTTGAATTAATGTTTGTAAGAGTTTTTAGTTTAAACTGCTAAACGGATTTTGATGAAATTTGGCATAGAAGTAAAGCATAGTCTAAAAGAACACATATGTTTATTACTTATTTTTAATTCCACGTAGATGGAGTCACGGGCGAAATCTAGTATTCTATAAAAGTCTAAATCATATCAATTATAATATTCAGTGTTCTTTTTCACCCTATTTCGGAAGCAGATATGAAATAAGACAAGTTACTTAAAAGGACTTACCCTTTCTGCCGCTACCGACTCGCAAGCAAAGCGGCATTAGAAGATTCATAAGCATATTCTCAGTTTTCTCGCCCGAAGGAAATATCGCAGTACCTCCGCACATCTGCTCCAATGAATAGCTATCCTAAAATGAGAAACATATCTATAAAATATTCAGAGCAAAATTCGAGAAATTTCTAAAACTATTTTTCATACTTTAGAAGTGTTTAAGGAAAAAATTATTAAAAAGAGCTTCAAAGCGTTCACTTGATTAAACGAATGAATCAGAATACAAAAAGTAACACGGTCTGTTATAGATATTAAACATTTCAAATATCTGGGCGGCTCTGGATAAAATATGAGTCGCGGCACAGAATAATATTTTAAGCCAATCGAAGTACAGGAGTGGAGGGCAGACGACCTTGAACGGCCAAGATATCTGAAAAGACGTATACTAGTGTTATCAGTGGTACTGACCCCAGTGTTGATGACCTGCAGCGCTATGAGGCGCACCACGGTGCTGCAGAAGTGCGGCGGCGGCGGCTGCGACATCAGCGCTGCCGTCGCTGAAGACAGGTTCTCACCCATACTGCTCTCGGACACTATCAACGCCTGCATGTATTACAATAATACTAAAAACTAGCTGTTGCCCACAACTTTGTTGACATAATATTTAAAAATGTTACTCAACGATAGCATAGCTTTCTAATGATGAAAAAATTTTTGAACAATCATACTATACTATCTTACTTCATACTAATATTATAAATGCGAAAGTTTAGACGGATGGATGGATGTTTGTTAGAGTTTGTAGCCTAAATGGCTGAACGGATCTGGATGAAATTTGGCATAGTTGTAGAGGATAGTCTGGAAGAACACATGGGCTACTTTCTTTTGTTTTTATTAATACCACGCGGACGGAGTCGCGGGCGGAAGATACTATAAAATTATATATACGAATATTTATATCGATGGATGGTTGGATATTTGGTGTAGACCTAGAGGATAGTCTGGAAAAACAAATAGGCACGCTTTTGTTTTTAATTCTACGCAGACGGAGTCGCGGACAATAGCTAGTAAATAAATAATACCTACTTGTACGGTATTGAGTAGAGTCTTGACTTGTTGCCAGTGCATAATGTAAGGACATCTAACCATAGTTTCGTATACTCCTTTCAACAATACAGCCGCAGAATCCCAATCTGTATTTCTCTATAAAAAAAAGTTTTTCTATATTAAAGTAAAGTCTTATTTTATTTTGAAAATCTTACTAATATTACAAATGCGAACGTTTATTTCAATGGATGGATATTTATTAGAGTTTGTAGATTAAATTGTTGAACGGATTTCGATGATAAATTGGCATATATATAGAGGATAGTCTAGAAGAACACATAGGCTACTTGTTTTTGTTTTCTTTAATTCCACGCCGACAGAGTCGCGGGCAAAAGCTAGTTATAAAACAAATTCTTCTAAGTCTTTAAGGATATGCTTAAGGGTGTGAATTCAGATATGACGACTGATAGAGATGTATGTGGGGACAAAGTCACATTGATAATAAAGTGTCGTACCCTTATGCTGGGCTTCTTAGCGATCTTGAGGAAGACCTTGTCGAGCCTGCGCAGTATGATGGTGAGCGAGGGCCGCAGGTCCATGTCGGCCCACTCGGCGGCGGGCAGCACCAGCGTCATGTAGCGCTGCAGCCCGCGGCACCCCATCGACTCCGGGTCGTAGGGAGACACCTTCAGCAGCGAGTGTGCGATCTCCGCGAGGCGCTGCCGGAAAATTTAATATAATTAAAATTGTTGATAAAAATCTAAAAATCTACACCAAAAGTTGGGCCAAATTATATGTTATTACGAAATTTAATTATCTATACTTCTATAGTGTAATAAAGCGTAAACACACACGACTTAGTTATGTAGGATTTCAGCAATCAAATTTTAATAAATATAGGGATACATTTGCGACACGCTCTAGGCTATATATATTTCCACGCTATTGAACTTGGAAGGTAAAACAATTGGAAAAAATCCTTTTGCGGGAAAGAGACAAAAACTGCAATGGTGCCAATAGCAACAAAGAAGCTTGCCATGGTTACTCATAAACGATTTTCCGCCAACGTCAAGGGTCTTCTTTGTCATTGAAGTATTTGCAATTGAAAGTTTTACGAAATACAAACAATAAAATGCAGTTTTGATAATGCCATGCGCTTAAAGCCGCAGGAGAACGCTATCATTTAAACATCGAACCATGTTTTAAGATTGGTGAGTATACAGTAAGTGCGAGTACTGACGGCGTGCGACTTGGAGTCGAGCAGCTCGAGGGGCTTGCCCTCGCTGCCGCCGCTGCCCTTGGAGCCGTTGAGGTCGAGCAGGCGCGAGCCGGCGCGCCCCACGAACTCGCCCACCAGCGACAGCAGCACGTCGCGCGGCCGCCGGTACTCCGCGCGCACCAGCTGACAAACAATACAAAATCGCACATTTGTCTAATTTACATCAACTTGTTTAGAGGGTAACGTTTACTTTAATATTTACTAGCTTTCGCCCGCGACACCGTCCGTATGGAACTAGTAAAAACAATAGTATGTAACCTATGTGTTCTCCCAGACTATCCTCTACTTTTATGGCAAATTTAATCACGATCCGTTAAGCCGTTTAGGTTTAGGTTACAAAGTCTAACGAACATCCATCCATCCACATTTTCGCATTTACAATATTAGTAAGATAAAATAAATGCAAAATGGATGGATGTTAAAGTTTACAGCCCAAACAGCTGAACGGATCGCGATGACATTTGGTGTACATGTAGAAAATTTTCTGGAAAAACACACAAGGTCCTAATTCAGTTTTCTTATAATGCAGCGTAGTCGTACGTGGTAGAAGGCTAGTTACAAAGTAATAATCAAAGTGTATTATGTAAGAAGTTCACCTCGGAGTCTTCAGTGTCGGGGGGCGGCAGACGCGCGTGCTCGCTGACGTAGCGCGAGTGCGACTCGTCGTCCAGCAGGTCGAGCGGCACAAAGGCGGGCCGCGCGCAGCCGCGCTGCGACGACCCCTTGTGCTCCGGCGACGTGCGGTACGGCCCGTTGTACGACCTTTTACATATCACATAATATCATGTACAGATGTCAAGACAAATTGTAGATTCCTTGATCCGACTCGAAGGACCATAACATACAGTGGTTAAACTTTAATCGTCGAAAACGTGTAAGTAAATAAATACTCCCGGGTGAAGTATATCCGCCAAAATTAAATTATAAACAGGAAAGATTTGTATTTTTGTACGTATGTGTTGAAATAACTCAAAACCTAGGAGGCTGATTTCAAAAAATATTTCACCATTAAGAAGCTATGTAATCATTTTTTTATTTCCACTTGGACGAAGCCGGGAGCAACAGCTATTAAAAAATATGGAGTGGAGTGAATATTAGTGTAGTGTACACTTACTTCGATAATCCCTCACAGTTATTGACAAGCGTTTTAATAGCTATTGCTAATTGTTGTATGATTTCTTTCTCAGTTTTTCCTTCTCTGTTATACGTCGGTAGTTGAATTTGTTTCACATAGCATGGAAGGATCGCCTCTAATATTATCTAAAAACAAAAATTAAAAAGTTAATTAAAAACACAACGTAAAAAACTGAGATACTCCAACATGCTAAAAAGCGATGGTTAGTTAACATAGTATTTGGGTCACTTACAAGCATTTGATATCCACGCATACTCTCAGCTGAGTAAGAAACCACCATAACGCAAAGACTAATGCAGTCCAAAACGTTGACCATTTCATCCTCGTCGCGGTAACAGAAGTCTATAGGTTTGAGAGGTTTCTCTTCTTTAATTAGCTCCGCTATGTGCAAGGGATCAGGTGACGGCGTTTCTAAACTTAGTAATAAGTTAAATAGACAACTTGATTGTACCTAAAAGTTGAATTAAACATCATTAGATTTGATTACGTACTCGATAAATGTTCATCACAAAATATGAAGCACAGAAAAACAAATGCTTTTAAAAATCTGTGCTCGAAGGGCCGATTAACTAATTTTTTTGTTTTTGACTTTTTCATGTTAAATCCATTTTCTGAAGTTTTTACAAATGTCGTGTGTGCTAGTCTATTTAATGAACAAATTAAAAATCACTTACTTTACTCGCATCGCCATAGGTAGCTTCTTCATCTGTATCCAAGATGGCCGACACGGAGCCGAACATTTGTAAAATAAATGGTTTTCTGTTCAATAAGTAAAACTGTTTGACCGCATACTCTATTGTGGTTGTGACCAGTTTGTTCGTTTGGAAGTTAGAATATATTTGTAGGAGCGTTGGCATTATTAACAAGTATCTGAAAGAAGGACAAAATTAAAAAAACAAAACGCACTTAGAATCTTTAAAAGTTTGCTAAAGTAGACCCTAAATGTAGATTTAGTGCGAAACTAAGAAAACTACTCTGATCTTTATTAAGTTTTGTTTGCAGATATGTAATAATCTAATTTTGCCACGAAACTTACCCATTAGTAGAGAAAATACTCTTAAAGTTGAAGGCGGCGTTGACGTATGTGGCGATGACGTATCGGAGTATGAGGGAGTCCTCGCTGTGCAGCATGAGCGCGCCGTTCAGCACGTTGAGGAAGAGGTGGATGTCGCGGGAGGAGGTGAAGTTGCCCGCCATCGCCTCGAACATGCGCGCGATCAGACGCACCCACCTGAGATTACATTAAGGCTATTTCACTAATAATAGAATAACGGCCGAATACTGAAAAGAATCTTTAACACTAGGTTTTTTTGACGTCGCTTACGATATGACAAACGACAATTTCAATGGAATTTGGAGTTTAAGTGTGACCTTATCATTTAAGATGCCCATATTTAAATGTTTCAGTATTCGGCCTAGATTATATCAGACAGATAAAAATATTATTTTTATAAAAAGTAAGAGAAAATTAAATATATCAAAACGATAGTATATATGTAATATCCTTACATGAATTTATGTAAGACATCGAGGCCGAGTAAGGTAGAGCCCAGTTTCCCTCGGCTGTACAAGTCGAGATCCGCCTCTAAAGCCTTGCGAGGGAATGAAGGTAGTTTCATCAGCTCGTCGTGCAGGAATACTACTCGTTGCACCACCTTGGGTAAGAGAAAGTCATATGTACTACTTTTACTAATATACTCATAGTAGTATTCCACACTTTTCTTAAGAAGAAAGGATGGGAAGGAAAAGTGGATTTGATGGTGAAGGAGACGCATGATAAGGGGAAATGTCCTTTTTATGTGCGTCTCCTCCTCCATCAAATAGGGGTAGGCAGCGGACCTGCATTGCGGATGTCTATGGACAGCGGTCGCTTTCCATTTCTGTGGATTTAAGTGGCCGCTTGCTCGTTTACCACCTTATATTATAAAAAAAGCTTTTATTGAAAATCTTAAGCTTGATAGTATAAGCTTCTCATATAAAATGTACACTACGAGACACTTAGTAACCATTAAACAAAGGTAACTAGAAGAATTATGTCGCAAGAATTACGTTAACGTGAACCACTACTACAATTCTACTTTTATGGTATTCTAGGATTTTAGATTTATTAAAAAAAATAGTAGTTTCGGTTACATTATCTTAAATCAATACTGACCATGTCGACGTTTTTCAAAATAGCCCAAGTAAGAAGCACTTTGCCGATTTCAACAAATTTTTGCAGTAATTCTTGTTGTTGTAGTTTATGGAACGCTTCCTCAGGCTCCATGTGAACCAGCCCTAACTGTGGATACTGAGAACGTTTGAAGAAATAATGGTCCCGTACGTAACTTTGTGGATTATGGATCTGACCTGAAATAAAACACAAGATTAGTAACACATAAACTATAATTTATTGCATAGGAAACATTAAACTTACGTGTTTTGAAGTCGACTAAAAAGTATTCATCGTGCAATTTATCTGGTATACTAAAGAAATCTAAAGATTCTCTCAAAATTTGACAGAACTGGGTGTCTTCTTGCACTGGGAACTGTGACGGTATGCTGCCTTCGTTGTCAGCTAGAATTTAAAGTTTACATTAGTAAATAATGTGGTTTTTATATTACATTGAACTATTTTAAATAAGGTTGTTACTTATTACTTATTTAATACTTACATGGGCCGTGTACAATAATTTTCTTAGCAGCAGGTACATTAGCTGTAAGTAATATCGATGCGTCGCATTGTTCTTTTCGTAAAATCTGTTTAAGGTCTTTGAACATTATACCATGTACACTGTGAACGACCTGTAATAGAAAAAAATGTGTCTTTATTCAAAAACTTTTAAACTTATTGATAAACATAGCAAAAAGAATTTTACAAAACGCGATATCGTTATTGAATCCGATTCAAACGCCATCTATTGATGAGAGCTTTGAAATAAATTCGAAATTGTTAACAACAATAGTTACCATCCATAGTATAGATAAGGCGGCTCCAATAAGTCTCTGTCCGTCTTCATGTGGAGTGCGTACGTAGAACATTACGTATCCGATAATATAGTTATAGAGTGCGAAGGCGGCTTGCTGCGGCAGGCGCGGGATGAACCGGATAAGATGTCGCAGCAACTTGAACATCTCATCCTGATGGTCTCGTGTTAAACGTTCTAGGACGTGACGCAGGAAAAGTGCAGAGTCCTCCACAAGACAGCCCCAGATACACTGTAGTCAAAGATGGTTCATCAAAAAGCACAAAAAGTAGTAACCGTAGTTACCGGTGAAAAAATGTCGTTCACTGTCATTTATTTTTATGTGTTTGTACGAGATGTATGAACCTGATATGCGACTTCATAGACGGAGCAGCCGTCCCGCGAGACTGCAGCGTCGTCTAGCAGCGCCACGATCTCGGCGACGGCGGAGCACAGCGCGGAGGGGAAGAGCGGCGCCGCCACCTGCGCGTGGTGCGAGCCGCGCACGCCCTCCACCACCTCCTCGTCCGCCGCCGCTGACACCGCAATATTAACATTACATACTTCTATCTCTCTTTTTATATTATACGCTGGCAAACGAGCTAGCGTCCACCTGAATCCACTAAAACGGCGAAGCGACCGCTGTCCATAGACATTTGCAACAGCGGATGCGTTGGCTACCTTTAATCGACGAAGGAAGAGACGCATATAAAGATGATATTTCCTCTTCCTATGCGTCTTCACACTCATCAAACGAAACGCGGAATTGCTCCAACTTCACGCCTGTCTTCTGTGTGGTAGTGGTATTGTATCGGGCGAGCCGACCCATTGGTGCGAAGATGTCAAAGCGATGTAAATAGCGATGTAAAGATGTAAATATTATTTAATTATGCTCACGTTCGACATGGTCGTCCGGCACGTGGTCGAGCGCGGGCTCGCGGGCGGCCTGGCGCGTGATGGGGATCGTGGTGATGAGGAAGCTCTCGCGCTCCGCCTTCTTCTTGTCGTTGCGCTGCTGCAGCGCGCGCTTCATTGCCTCCGTCTGCTGCTTCTTGCGAGTCTTTGTGGCTGTTACTAGCGAACGCTGCAAACATGAAAAAAATTATAATATAACAACTACCTTTTATTTATGATACCTACTAGCTTCCGCTCACGACTTCTTCCGCGTGGTATAAATAAAAACAAAAGAAAGTAGCCCATGTGTTCTTCCAGACTATGCTTTACGTCTATGCCAAATTTCATCGAAATCCGTTCAGCCGTTTAGGCTACAAACTCTAACCATCCATCTAATCCAATCTAATCCAATAAATTTTCGCATTTTTTTTATTAATATGATTATTTTTTTGGCAAGTTTGCACATTTACATTCCTAAAATTGGACATACAATGTAAAAATATAAAATCTTACATGTCTTTCTTGATTGAGCGTCATTTCCATATCCTTGTCTTTGACCTGCGGACTCCAGGGTGGGTCGACAACCGCCAGCGACTCGATGCCGATCTTTGGCGAGGGCAACGTGAACTCTATTCCCGGAGGAGGAACCTTGAATGTGACGGAGGCGCTCTCCTCCATACGGGGCCACACTTGGTAACGAAGCTTCCATATCACTTGGAAGCGTAGGATCGCGTTGATCCTGAAATATGAGCTGTTTACTGTACTCAACATTTTTTGTCACAAAACACATTTCTTAGTGCAGATTTGTCACACAAAATCATAGAGATTCAAATATATGGAGAAGGCACTTCGTTTGAAACATTTTTCACATATTCAATCCTCAAAACCACATGTCAATATAATTAATTAATATTTAAATGTTTATATTTTATTTTTTTAGATGTCAATACAAAGACACGAGACGGCACTAAACTTGGTAAATGAAATAGTACCTTCAGAGAAAGTACCAGCACGAAACCAGTGTAAAGTACCTGATCTTTGTACTAAGTGTAAGCAGCAGTAAAGCAGTATTACCTGACTCCAGGGTCGCAGTGCTTGAGGTCGTTGTGCATGATGTCGGTGGCGACGTGCGGCGCGCGCACCGCCACCAGGATGAAGAGCGCGGCGGCGCACCAGCAGCCGCCACGCCACCGGCGCCACCTCGCCGAACATCTCCTCGCTCAGCGTCGTCGCGCCCTTCACCAGCGTCGCCAGCGGCATGTGGTACGCCTCGCGCACCTGGCCGCCACCGTGCTCATTAGCCAAAGGTGCACCAAGCAAGGTGCCGCGTAACAACCACAGATATTCAAAAAATATAGTTGACACTTCACTTGAAACATTTTTGACATAATGTCACTAGCGCTGCATGGTGGCCGATAATCAAAATCACAAATAAAATAATTCAACCACTGACCACTGAGAAACGTCTCGGCGTGTCGGATTTGGCATTGAGATATTACAGTACTAAGAAGTTACCGGTGAAAAATGTTGTTCCCTATGTCTAGGCTAAATGTTTCTTAGATATCTTTGGTAATAACGCGCAAATACATTCACATAATCATACACGTAGTGACAAAAGTAAAAAAATAAACAAATCTCTTGTTCTATTCTGTTTTGTATAAAAGGATTAGGTGTTTATATTTCATGGATATATCATGGATATATCCATAGTCTTCAATAATAAAAACAATTTAACTAACTTGTCCCTTGAGATACTTGAGTATGTGCGGCGTGTCTGCGGGCGGGTAGGGCAGCGAGCCGGGCGCGGCGGGCGCGGGCTCGGCGCCGCCCAGCGTGTGCTCCACGCCCGCCGCGCGGTACGCCAGCCCCGCCGTCTCTATCACGGACCGATCGATCCTGATGGAACAATTCACTACATTAAAAAATGACTTGTAATAAGAAGAAATCTATAAAAACCCAAGGTAAAGAATTAAAAAAAAAATACAACTACCAAGACAACAAGATTGCTGCAAGAACTACAACTACAAGAATTAAAGAAAACAAATAAAAAAAAATCATTACATTTACAAAGATATCGTAATAAATGCTACATTGTTTAACAGTGATGAGTACATTAGAGGAAGTTCGAGAGTAGCCTCAGTGGTAGAGGTTAGGAGTAAAAGGTTGGCATGTAATGGGCATGTCATGAGGACGGATTCATCTCATGTAAGAACCAGAACGTTGGTTATCAGTGTAGGGGTACACCGGTAGAGGTAGACCTAGAAAGAGATGGATGGATTGCGTGAAAGGCGACATGATCAAAATGGAAGTGATGACAGATGATGTTTGATATGTTTATATGGAGGACAAAAACCTGTTGCGCCGAACCTCCGGGAGTACGATAAGGAGATGATGATGATGCTTCACACTAATCAGTTAACATTTCATGGGGTATAGGCTCCTATATTAGATTCCCCTGTGTAGCAAGAGCCAATGAGCCAGGAAGTAATGGTATTATAAAGCGTTGTATATTACAACTGTAATCTATTGTAAATTTATTTGAAAAAATATTCCAGAAGACATGAAATTTAAAATCTAAATTTCCATGCAAATATTAAGAATTAACTCTTTCTTTAAACTTTTAATATTGCTTCATTCTACAGCTATATTAGATTGTTCAAATTGATTAAGGTATATAAATATCACGATGCTTATAGTAGAAACCTCTCCCAAAATAGGGGATTACTACTTTGTAAGATCTGATGATGTGTTAAGTGAGTATGGAGTACTTTGTGTACGAACCGCATGCAATCTAATATCAGTGTAGAGTGTCGCTACTGCTCTGTGTACGGGAGCAAACATATTGCACAATGGTTTACGTGTAGTGTTCGAACCTATCGGTGAGGTGGTCGGAGGGCTTGCGCGCGCGCCGGCCGCGCCGCGCCCCGCCCGCGCACTCCTCGCTGCTCGCACTGCTCGTCTCCGGACCGAACTTCTCGCCGTAAATCTTAAAAAATATATATTTAGTTTAAAAGCAAATATACATTTAAATATAAATATAACTATAATAAGTTAAAAAAATTAATAGTGACTGGGGCTATCTAGGACAAACAAATAAAAAAACCGGAGATAATAATTTGATCAATAGAATATGTATCAAAAGTCAATTTAATTTATTTAATGTAATAAATGTGATTATCTGCATAAATGCTTTTTATTATTATTAGTAATATCCATAATATGCTATTTCCACTATTAAAGACCATAAGTGTCGTCATTGGAACAGGAGTTGAAAATTGTAAAATAAATATGTAAATTAATTCAAAATACTAAGGAGCCTACAATCTCTTGAAACTCACCCATAGCTATATACCTCAAAGTACCGTGTCGACAAATTAAGAAATTATTGTAATTTAAAATAAATTAGTTACCTTCTGCACAGACTTCATGAGACGAACGGTAGCTCTCATATTCCGTCGGAAGCAGTACGGGTGACAGAAGTTTTGATGGCAGCACACGTAGTTAAAGGAATTCAAAAACTTCACCATCACCTAGAACAATAAAACATGTAAAATTAAACCCTATGTTGATCCAATATAGCTCAATTTTCCTTGCGATAAATTAATCACAGAGTAATGAAAAACAGACATGTTTGCATTAGAAATAAACATTGAAACTATCCAATAAAATGCAAAGACAAAAAATGACATTTTCAGTCAGTAACAAGTGTAAGTAAATATAGTCTACAATTTCTATTGAATTCGATCGAACTTCGAAAAAATCTGTGTGAATGCCTTTTCCTTTTTACGTGAATGTGTGAGGGCAGTACCTTAAGCCAAGGGAATCCCTTGTTGTTGTCGGGGGGGTCAGTAGAGTTGCTGTCGGGGCTGTCGGGCGGCGGCTCGTGGTCGTCCGACAGCACGCCCGGGCTCTCCTCGCCGCCGCTGTCCAGCTCGTTCGCCATTATTACTGTACCTAACAATTACATCCACATAGGCCCACAATTGTTAAATAATTAAAATTTGATAATAAATAAATAAAAAAATTATTATTTCACACTAGGTTCCACTTTGCTGCAGGAGCCAATCACTTCCCTATTAGTGGATACCAATTAGTGTCAAAATAAAAAAAAAACATTGAAATCGACTAATCGTAAAATACGAGTTTACGATTAGTCGATTTCAATTAATAAAATGAGAAATTTACCTGTACCAGGGAAAACATCGGATGTATCACTTCTATCGGATAATGAAGAAACTTTACGTCTGCTTTGTATTGAATCTGATCTTCGTGTTATGACTGGAATATAATAATATAAAACAATTAATGGAAATGTCCCCTTGAGTGTCAATTATTGAAAATACTCCATTGACATTTAATTTCGTGAGCTTCGGAAAAAATACGCCCGCATGAAAAAAAAATATAGCCTATGTTTGCTATGTCTATGTACTAATTGCTAACGTTGATTTTGAATAGTGAAAGAATAAAATCGACCCAGTAGTTTTTGGGTACAATGCATACAAAAATAAAAATCTTTCCTCTTTATAATATTAGTATAGACAACAGTGTAAACCCACTTTAAAAGTTCAAAGTAACTTACAATCATCGACTTCTCTGGTATCTTTCTGTCGCAATTTAATAGATCTTCGTTTGAAGGAGCCGTACGCGGAGTGCGTCTGCTGCGTGTTGCGGCGGTGCATGGGCGCCTTGCCGCGGGACCCCAGCCGGCCCTTCTTGTCCTCCAGTGCTGTACTCGGTATCGCATCAGCTAGCTGAAATTAATCCAAACCGCTGTTGTCCAATAATTCTCTAAATATATCTATATTCAATGCTAGATATAGCGAATCTGTGAAGTCTGTCCAAAAGTGGACTAGTATAGTATAATGATGACATCACAGTTTCAAAAGTAGGTAAAGAGATTGATATTCAAAAAAGTGAAAGTTTAGATGGATGGATGGATGTTTGTTAGACTTTGTAGCCTAAACGGCTTAGATAATCTGGATGATTCGGAATAGATGTAGAAAATAGTCTGGAAGAACACATAGGCAAGTTACTTTTGTTTTTCTTTTAATTCCACGACGACGGAGTCGTGGGTAAAAGGTAGTATGTGATATATGAAATCAACTTACCATCAGAGAGCCAACGTGATTGACTATGGCCTAGTCACCCTTAATTTAGGGTAGGCTCCGAGCCCCTTAGTGGGGACGTATAGTTGATGATGATTGTGATTATTTTAAATAAAGAATGTCTATAGCATAAGCTAAAATACATGAAAACATTGAAGTAAAAATAAACGTATATTACCGTAACATTGCTCCCGCCGGACACATTTTCAGGTTCATGTAGTACAAATGATATTTTCCTTTCAGTTTCAGCGCCGGCGATTGACTGCAGGCTTTGTGCGGACGCTTGAGAATGTCCCATACTCGATAGAGCCATGCTCCAACGACGATTGGCTTCCCTGAATATTATACATCGCTTAATAAAAGCTTATCAATATATATTATTTACTATTCATCTATATTTTTAATCTAAATACATCTCTTTTAATTTTAATATTTCATCCGTATGTCTTTACATGCCAATGTAGCGAAGCTTTACTTAGTCACTATAAGTGTCTATTTCTATTTCATTACTATAAAAGGTGAGTCTAAGAAATATCAGTGTAATTTCAGTGCCTTATTTTTAATCGTTCAATCTCCTAAAAGTGCATTCAATCTACAAGCAGTTTCGGAATAGGCAATAGTATCAGTTGAAATAGTTCATTAATAAGTGTATTTAATATTATTGTTATTTAGAAATTGTATTATTATGTACAAAATTTAGTAGTATCGTGCCCTTCATTCATTTATATACCATGCACTTGCGTTCTTTATATTTATGAGATTATGGATGTACTTATTTTGTTTGTTTTCTTAAGGTCCTTTCAGAACAGTACGTGATAGGAAATAAATAAACTTCGTAATAAAACAAAAGGCAAGAGAGTAAGAGAGAAAGAAGAGAAGAAAGAGAGAACGAGTTTAAAAACTAAACTGTTAGAAGTTCGTACATGGTGACAAATTTTTGCACTGACAAAAAAACGCTTCCTACAAAACTTATAATAAACTGAAATTGTACTGTTCTGTGAACCTCTTTTTAACCGATTTATGTGTTATATTATTAGTAAATCATGTTCTTTAAGTTATTAAATTGTACTAAAGACATGCACGCTCGGTGCGGAATGCGAATGAACATGCATTACTTCGTCAGAACACATACTCGACCGGCACTAATGCCTGTTGACTGCTAAGAGCCCTGTCAAAACAAAACGCTCGTCAAATACATTATGCACTCCTTATATTATCACTTCAAATAAATATAGCTCAGTAACTCACATATTCTTACAAAACAAACGACGTTTTCGCATCCATCTTCGCAAAAAATAAAAATAATCATTTTTTTTATATTGAAAGCGAGAATTGACTACTCGGTAAATATTGGTCGTTTTTATTGTACTTACCTGTAAACCCTGTCCCAAGGGCCGCGTTCCTTTAGCGAGGAGCGGCTGGATTTCGGTAGGTTTTGGTAGGTTTCGCGTAGGAAAGCGGTTATTTCAAATAGTAATACGCAAGCTACTAATCTTAGCGCTCGAGGACATTCGGCTCCGATCGTCTTTCCAGGAAGGCGTATACTTGCTGCAAATAATAAAAATGAAAAATTCAGTAAAAATATTGCCAACTCTCTCACTCTATTTCGAATAAAGTGAGACAGCAACATATATACTTATTGTCTACCTTCATCAAGAAAATCTTCCTCTTCGTCTTGCTGTAAAAGTTCCCTCTGACCATCGGGGTCAGTCACCAAGGAGACCACAGTGTCAAGGTGCTTTTTATCTTCATTTAACATCTCTTCTAATCTATTTCCAATCGCCTGTAATATTAAATTAAGAGTAAACGGGTTTGTTTTTTTATTTAATAATGTAAGACGTTTTTACTTACTTCAGCCCATTGGTAAAATAATTTTCCAGCGAGTCTTCTTCTAAGCTGAGGACTGGCTGACACTGTAATTTTTTTTTAATTTTATAAGGATTGGGACAAAAACCATCTTTATTTACCATACTGTACAATTCCCTACATCTAATGCATATGATTAGACCTACTATAGAAAACATAGAGAAATAATTCAATATATCATCAAAACTTTAGACCTTTTATTTTTACAAATATTAAAAGTATGTTAGTTTTTTAATAGTTAATATTACTTACTTGAATTTTTGACCATATTCGACTTAAGCCAATGCGGCCACTGGCCTTTATTACAATTGTGTACTAAATGTGCGCATTCCAACAGCACCGAGGCGCGCGCCACCACCACTGTGAACGGCTGCAAAAATAACAGTTTCACGTTATATTTTTATTAAGACTTCTATACAAAGAAACAATAAAATCAAAGTTGAATACAGTTTTAATCCTACGTAAATCTTAATATAATGTTATTTTAAACATCTTATAGATTGAAAACAAACAAATGCAAACAATAAAAGTCCCTTATATTGCTAAAGATTTAGCATTAAATATTGATAAATAGCTATTGTTACAACGGCTTGATTTGATCTAATATAAAAATTGATCTCTTGTCAAAATTAACTAGTTTGTATCAAGGCCCTGTGGCGCAATGGATAACGCGTCTGACTACGGATCAGAAGATTCCAGGTTCGAATCCTGGCAGGGTCGCGAGAGCTTTTTGTTCATTTTTTTAAGTAAAATTTTAAACTACGGATAAGATGTAATGTGACCAAAAAAATATTGCACGTATTATTATTGTTTTTATAGTCGAATTCAAAAGTATAGTATTTTACGGATTCATCGGACTCTTTAAATATTTTCTGATCTAATATTATAAAGAGGAAGAGGAAAGATTTGTATATTTTTATGCAATGAAATAACTAAACTACTGGGCCAATTTCAAAAATTCTTTTACCATTAAAAAGCTACATTCTGAGTGAGTAACATAGGCTATATATTTTATTATTTTTTTATTTCACGCGGGCGAAGTCGCGAGCAACAGCTAGTTAAATATACACTAAGACAGTTAAATAAACATTAAACAACAATCAGGGTTTTAACATACCAAGTCCAGTAAAGCAGCAATAAAGAGCGCGTCAGGCGTGGCCCCAGGCTGCGTGGCGTCCAACAAGAAGTTGAGTCGAGCGAGTCCCGCGTAGAGCGGCGCGGCGCACACCAGCCGCCGCCGCTTCAGCACCACCACCTCCGACTCCCCGCCCCCGGACCCGCCCTCCAGGGACCCGCGACGAGACATGTCTGCAAACACAGGATTAATGATTGAATGAATGAATGGAAATACCAAAGAACGAATGGAAAATCAGTGCATACTCACATCCCCCAGACGATTCTTCAATGCTCCCATCTCTTTTCTTCCCCATCTTACGAAGTCCAAATCTATTTAGTCTGTCCTCGACGCGTTTTCGAGCTCTATAACATAAAAGTATGTTATTTACATGCTGGTGATTTTGACTCTTTTTTGTTGCAGTATCACTGTACTAATAAAGTAGTTAAATAGTTTGTGCTGTTTTTCCGTCAGCCAAATGACTTATTTAAATAAATGCCCTAGGACTTTTAAATTGCTGTATTCTAAGTATCATATATCTCTTAATGTTATTTTTTAGCTGTGGGCATATGATGGATGGATGGATAGATCATAGGAAGGATGAAGGTTTGTTTGGAGGTATCTCCTA